TGTACATATACTTGCCATGTAAAGTTAGGTCGTGGCCACACCGGTTGCATAGTTGAGGAAATTGTGTTTTGTAATTCATGTTGAATTTGCCAGATCCAACCTGCAGTTTGCTCATCCAGCATAGTGTGTTTTATGTTATGATTAGAGATTGGAGAATTGAAGGGAATTAGGAGTCCAATAAACAACAACTGAGAGCTACATGTTCCCCATCCCTTCTTCAGAATTTGGAAGAGATTATGTTTTCTCCAGCTGAGTCATCCCCAGTTGACTACAGATCACATTAAGTAGGTTGTTGCCAAGCTGGGAAATCTGTAATCCTCCAAACATTGGACAAAAACTCCTGTCGTGCTTTACAATTAGCTGTGCTGGTGAAGACTAATGAGAGTTGTCCAACAACTTCAGGAGGGCTGTACGTTGCTTATCCTTCTGTTAGCGTAACTTGTAGTGAAAGTCAGTGTGACTTTCATCCCATTGATCTTGCACTGTAAACCCTGGCTTGTCATTCTTTCAGATTTATCATTTCATAAATGATAACACTGGAACACTTTTCCAGTTACACTGGCCCACTGGGCAAAATTGAGCTGCAGTATTTTCTAGTTCAGCCCTTCTCAAACTGGTAGCCTGCAGCTGAGTTGTGGACTACAACATTCATGAGCCCATTGTATGACCATGCTGGCTCAGGATGATGGGAGTCATAGTCTAATATATATAGGTAAAAGTTGACTGGTGAAGGGTTAGTTAGTAAATAGGGAATAAACAAATGCTGCTGGTTTTGGTGAGAGAGGAAACCTTGATAAGGGGGGCCCATAAGAAAAGGCAATTCCATGTTTTTTGCCAGAGTTGTTCAGGACTGGGGAGGGGCAGTCATGGTTGTGAAAGCCCAAGGGTTTAGAAGTCACTGGGATCAACAGTATTCCCCGTCCTGCCAACCCTGGTCTGAACTAGCCTTCTGGTGACTCAACCTCAGTAGATATAAATAGCACTCACTATCAGGGCTGCCATCTGCCTCATGCATTTGCATCCCAGTCAAGGTTATTTTTCTCTTTCCTGAATGGCCAGTGCTTTGGAAAGATATCTCTCCTTTCAGGAGAGAGTGCCAAAGGTGATTTGTGGCTTTGCGATCAGATTATGCTGTGTCATACATGGCTATGACTTGGTTTCTGTGCTGTGACAGCCACAGCGTAATGTCCAAACCCAGTATGATTTCCACTGGGGTGTCTTTTTAAAAAAATAGCATACCACTCTGGGAACACAGGGCTTGTTGGGTTGTCCAAGGTGAAGTATTTGCAGAATGGCTTGTTGTCATGTCCAGATCCAGCTGGCTGACTTCAGTGTAGATCATGGGTCCTCAAACTACGGTTCGGGGGCTGGATCCAGCCCGCCATGCCCATTTGGTCCCGTCGTGCGTGTGCCCACACATGTGCTCGCTGCTGCCCACCTGGCCCCACGTGCGGGGAGGCAGCGGTTTGCTTACTCGGAGAAAACGATCAAGTGAGCAAGCCGCTGCCTCGTGCGCCCGCCTCGCAGCGCATGCCCACCCTGCCTCGCGTGCGCCCTCCCCTCGCCGAGCACACCCCCCTCGCCTCACATCCCACCCCCTCGCCGGCCCGCGCGCACTGCTGGCATCACCTTTCCGGCCCGCGCCCAGCACCAGCACCTTTCAGCTGGCCCCCTGGTGAAAAAGTTTGAGACCCCTGGTATAGATTGTCAGGAAAGGCTTCAGAGCCAGTTAGCAAAAGCAATGAAAACTACTACTACCCTGCAATCTTGCTAGTTTCACATCTATCTTGCTTCATTCTTCTGCAGTGCCCTACATAACATTCTCCTAAAAATCAAAGAGCATTTCACAAATGCCTTTGTGCCCATTTATTTTGCATTTTACCTTGCATAGATGCACACATCTGAAAGTCAATGGCTATGAAATTTGCACAGTTTGCTCCTCTGCTTTACTGTGGTGCCATGAAATTTGCAGTAACTTACTGATTCCTCTCACTTGTCCGTACTGAAAATTGTGCATCTTGACCAATTCCACTGCTGCTCTATAAACTATATGTATATCTGATTGCTAACAGTGGAGACCACTGGAGGGAAGCAACAAATACAAAGGGAGGTGGGAGTGGGAAACAAAAGCAGTTAATGGCTGGAATGTGTTTAGAATGGGCAGGAATGATGAGCTGTGCAGAAAAAGGTACTCAAGGAAGGCTTTTTCAAAATTGCCCTCTTCTTAATGGAACTTTAGCTCTGTATTCAGGTGAGGGGTGTGCACCAGGGTAGGGTTATGCCAGTGGTGGCAAACCTAAGGTATGTGTGCCACAGCGGGCGCACAGAGCCCTCTATGTCTGCATGCGAGCCAAGTCGCCCCAGCATCTCCCCAGCAGCCAAGCATTGGAGAACAGCACACAAGGGACCATGCTCATGCTCTGAAAGGTGTAGCAGCGCCAGGCAATGAATTCATGAGCCGCAACTCATTAGCCGTGACTTGTCCGAGCTTTCGCATGGCCAGTCAGTGCGCTGCCAAGGAGATATATCTATTTGCTTGGACTGGCTGTGAGGTGTTATTTCTAAACTAAAACCTCAGTTTTCAGGTTTTATTGCAGTGTTGGCACTTCGCAATAAATAAGTGGGTTTTGGGTTGCAGTTTGGGCACTCGCTCTCTAAAAGGTTCGCCGTCACTGCTCTAGTGTGAGGACTCTGCTTGGCTCCTGCTCCCATTTCCTGCTGTTTTTTTAGATCTTTGACTGTACACCCATCTTTAGTCCCTTCAAATTCTTGTTTGTTGTTTTGGACTTTGATTTCTACCAGCCTTTGACTACAGACTTGCCTCCAAGCCAATTAGATTCTTTTCTGTTGCTTTGATCCTTGGCTCCTGCCTGTTTTAAACCATACATCCAAATATGTGTTATTTGGATAGCCAACCACTAGCCAGCCTGATGTCCTGGGTCCAAATATCAGTCTAGCTCTTACTGTTAGGGTTGGTTGGCTAGACATAGAATAGTAGTTTAGTAGTTGGAAGGGGTCAGAAGGCCATCAGGTTCAATCCCTTGGTATTGCAGGGACACTAAGTTACACCATCCCATTTAGCTGTCCGTCTAAATGCTTTTTGAATGTCTCCAGCAAGGGAGAGCCCACAACTTCCCCAGGTAATAGGTTCCATTGAGTTATCCTTCTTATAATGCAGTTGAGCTATGCTGCCATCATGTGAATTTTTCTTGGGTATAGGGAACAGGGAGGGATTCTCCCTTCATCAGCTGTATTCCATAGCAGCTGTTTCACTAGGTTTCAGCAGAGGAGGGATGGGGAAGGGGGACGTTCTGAGAGTGGTTACTTTTGGCGTTTCCCCTCCCTGTTTCTATACTGCTAGTCATTATAAGAACCACTAGGGTGGTTATATAGGGCACTGAATTGGTACCAGAGTTTGATTCTTTTTGCCTCCTCAGTTCATTTCCCTTTTGTGACATGCACTTTGGGTTATAAGGTTGTGGAACTGGGCCATCTTATTTTTATTGATTTAGAGAGGTTGCTCTGAGTGACTTTTCAATTGAAGAACAGGGTAAATAATCTTTATATGAAATAAGTATTCACTATTTTGTTGAGGTTATCAGCTTGACCCTGTTTCTGTTTATAGTAAATGAATCTTAATAAGTTCAACAGAATGTACTCTCAAGTAAGAGTGGATAGGACTGTGGTCAAAGGCTCAAACCCAAACACACTTACAAAGGAGTAAATGGGGCGTTATTTGACAAAAGAGCTTGCAGGTTTGCATAAAATCTTTATATGAAGTCTCCCAATGCTCACTGAGGATGCTGGAATGGTAGTTCAACCCATCAGAAGGCCACCAAGTAAGAGATGGCTCCTTTAAGGCATCATTTCAGATAAGAACTACTGGTACTGACATTTGGCAACAACTTAAAAACAGAATACATAAAAACAATTTAAAAAATGAATGAAACATGGAAAAAATCCTGTGACAGATGACTGTGATTCTGATGTGTGGCTGATTATTCTGGGGGTTTTCCACATGGTTGAGAAATGACCTGGGGTAGGAATGAGCAATGCCTCTCTTCTGCTGGAGAGATGTGTTGCTGTTCATGGATGGGGAAAGACCTAGAAACCAAGGATGATGAGGGTGTTAGAAGCTCTGGGCAATCCTTCTGCTGGGGCCTGATCTCAAGATTCAAATGAAACATGAGAATTGTCCCATCTGACAAATAATGCCTGGTAAGCTTCTGGTATCACTTGAGACATTCTCTAAATGTCTATACTTCAAAACATATACTAGCTTTTGTGGTGTCTTGTAGCTTTTATGTAAAGCTGGAACAATAGTCCATAGCTGTATCAGACAAATCTTCGTTGTTTCACCAATTAATTTGTCTCTTCACAAGACCCATCAGCATGACAGGATGTTTCATAGGTGTGGACAAGAACTTTTGCTTTTTGGCTTCTACCAGCCAGGTGTACAAACAAATTAAGCTAGTACACATGGATCAGTCTCTCTACACATTCCTCTTGACTTTAGTGGGACCGAGGCTCCAGGCGTACATGTACTTCCTGGGATCTGTGGAACATACTCTCAAGTAAACACAAAGCAGGATCTGTTATATTAGTTTTAATCTTATAAGCCACTTTTAGTATCTATGGACAGAAGAAACAAACAATAATTAGGCAAGCCTCATCATTTTTAAGTCCAAGTATAACAGATCAGAACTTCATTTGAGGTTTAATTGGTTTATGGATCAGACTTTGTATTGTCTGGCATTCTAACTAAATTTAAAATTTCAAAGAAACATTTGAAAATCTTGTGGAATTTCCCATCAAAGTGATTCACTTGCTAACTCAGTCCTGATAGCCATTTTGCTTAACTATTGCACTTTGCAATTAGTATGCTTCAGGAATAGCAGTTTGGCTGTAATCCCCAGGGTAGCAGTAAGGCCCTGAAATGATCAGCCTCAAATTTCTGTATGTATGTTCTACTTTTAAAGAGTCTGCATTTTTTTCCTCAGATTTGACTGCTGCAAGACATTTTAGTAGCCGTGTCCAGAATTACACCACCCTCTTGCTGGAAGATGAGAAAGGAATTCTTTATGTAGGAGCCAGGGGTGCAATATTCTCCTTAAATTCCAGCAACATTGCTGATGGCTCCCATCAGACAGTAAGTGCAACTTTATCCCACTGGCATGCCCATAGTCTTATCCTTTATTAATGCAGATTTCTAGCCATAGTTAGGTTTGCAAATACATGTACCATCAAGGAAGATTTCTTGGTTGCAGGGTACACTGTATTTGACTATCTAGTAGCTTCTCAAACATACCAAGATAGTATGTTCAGAATCATACACAGCCCTACTTCAAGTAGTCTGACCACTTCATTTCTCAGGTGCTCAGCCTGTTTATTGACTCTAGCATTTGTTCAGCACTTAAATTTTATTTTATTTTTTTTAAAAAATCACTGTGTATTTAAACGTTGAGATCTGCTCTGATAGGGGAAGGGTCAAGGCACTGCAATTGAAACTAAAGTTAGCTAATCAGTGCTGTGCAGAAAATAGATTCCAGCTCCTGACCTGTTTTCAAAAGAATGGTGTAATATAGAGTGAATGCACTTGCACAGTGAACTCACTGTAAGTGGATGTTGTCATTTTTTCTTAGTTTTATGCAAAATTATATTTTATACAAATATATAAGTAAAATACGTAATAATTGTGTATTTTTCGTAATTAATTTTATGGGTACAATTCAACACTAGTCCTACTGAGATTTCATCTGAAATACATGGGTTTACTCCATGGAATTAGGTCTATTCTAAGTAGATTTTACCCTATGTTTTTTGGAGTTATTATATTTATTGTTTGCCATGTTGTGAGTTGCTTCTGGCACAGTATTGAGGAAAAGTGGGATGCAATTAAATATTGGGGCAATAAACATCTGTGCACAGCCTTTGTTAAAATAGTGAATAGAGTCACTGAGAGGTATCTTAAAGAGCATGAATTCTGAGGCAGTAAATATTACTATTAAGATTAATTTGATTTCTGTACTGTAGCTGAAGTTTTCTGGGCAGTATAAAACAAAATAGAAAAACAAAAAAATGCAGTAAATAAAAACAGTAAACATTAAAATTAATTTAACATAAAATAACATTAAAAGACAATTAAAAGACCTGGCCAAGAGGAAAAGGAACCTGGCTAATTGTATCAGGCTCCTGGGGGTCTTTAAAGCCTCTGCAAAGAGGGCTGACTTAACCTGGCACTGAAAAGATGATGAATTTGGTGCCAGGCAGGCCACTGTAGGGACGTTATTCCAAAGATGGGGTGCTACCACCAAAAAGACCCTCCTCCTAGATGGCACCCAGAGGAAGGCCCCAGAGCATAGTGCCCAGGTAGGTCAGGGTTGGGACAGGTGCTCTGACGGGTATTACAGTTCCAAGGCATGCAGGGCTTCATAGGTTAAGGCCAGCACATGAATTGGGAGAAGAAGGTTCAGAAGCTGCGCACCAATTGCAGCTTCTGAACCTTCTTCAAGGGCAGCCCCAAATAAACTACATTGCAATAATCCAGTTTAGAGATTACCAGAATCTAGGCAACTGAAGCCAGGCTATCCCTGTCTGGGTAGAGGCCTACCTGGGCCACCAGCTGAATCTGGTAGAAGGCACTCCAAGCCACTGATGCCATGTGTCACTCAAGTGGCAAAGGTGGGTCGAGGAGCACCTCCAAGCTATGACCCTGCTCCTTCAAGGGGAGTGCAACCCCATCTAGAACAGGTTGAACACCCCATCCAGTCAAAGAATCACCCACCAACAGCATCAGCATGGATGTGTCTGTCACCAGATCTGGATTTCACACGGGGGAAAGGCCAACCTGTAGTACACTACTGTGCTTGAAACAACCTGGCAGTCTGGTGCTCTTCCCACAGATACCGCATCTGCTCACCCTCATCTGGGAACCTTTACTCCTGAGTCTGGGAACCTTTACTCCTCAGTATCGTTTCTCTCCTGTGTTCTGTTTGCATGGAAAATGCGAAGAGCCCTTGAGCAAGCCAACAAAATTATGAAAGTGCATTTTTTCATCTGCTTCTCCTCCTCTCTGCCCTATTTGCCCCCTCATAGTTTTGTATTTGTAACAGGCATGTCCTTATTTCAGTCCAGAACCTTTAAAAGCTAATGGGCGATGGAACTCAGTTGTGCTGCTGCCTTCCTTTGCTTTTGGACACATCCACTTGTTCTGAAAAATCAAAATACGCACTCCGAAAAAGTTTTGTAAACTTCACAAGGTTCTCTTGTGGAGGGCCTGTTCAGCCACCATTTCCTGTATCCCAGTGTCTCCACTTTTTGGGTTTGCTTACATTACAGATAAGCTGGGAAGTTTCTCCTGAGAAGCGGTCCGACTGTTTGAAAAAGGGCAAAAACAACAAGGTATGTACAGCGAGTCTTTTCCTTTCTGTGCCTGCACTGCTGATTTGTTTGTGCATGTTCATCATTACAACTCCTGTGTCAATCCTATTCCCCTTTCCTTTTTGCAGACAGAGTGCTACAACCATGTCAGACTTTTGCAGCGGCTAAATGCAACCTACCTGTATGCCTGTGGCACATATGCTTTCCATCCACTCTGCACATATATTGTAAGTAAAAGCAGTGGAAATTTTCTTTGCTGCCCAGAACTGATCCTTTGCATTAATCTTGAGTAAAGAGAGAGTTACAGTCAGATCTTAGTCATGCCATCAGGTTCCAGAAGTTGTGCTTGAGCCAGTGTCTGGATAACTGTTGATCAATATTGATTACCAGTTTCTGCTGATTGGAGTGGTTGTAGACATACGCGCGCCATAGATTGGTATCTGGGGCAATAAATGAATTTCAGATGCTGGCCACCTGTATGAGTAATTCTTGCTAAGGAATGGAAAGGTCATAAGGATAAGCACTCATTTATACTGCCTGTCAGAAGCAGGGAGGTCTGTGAAGAAGTTTTCCTTCCCATAAAATCTGCCATGAAGAACAAAGGGGAGGGAAAATGAAAGTATGAGTCTGTCTTTATTAAATCCCTTTAAGAATGCATGACCTTCCATATATTGCTGAAAGAAATTCCTATCAGCCCTAGCCTCCCTAGGTGAGGAATGATGAGAGTTGTAGTCTAGAAACTTCTGTAGGGCCACATGTTCCCTATCCCTGCTTCAGAGTCACTTTTAATGTGTTACTATTGGGATACATTTCTATTGTTTGTGTTGTGGATAGAATATTGGACTAAGAACAAAGAGATTCAGGTTCATATCCCAAACTTAGTCACAATGTTAACTGGATGTTGCTGGGCAAATCTCTCTCTCAAGCCAGCCTACTTCACAAAGTTGTTTTGAGTATCAAATGGATTAAAGATGATATACATCATCTGGAGCTCATCTGAGGAAGTGCAGGGTGTATTGTGTGTACTAGGAGATATAGAATAATATATTGAAGTATGCTATAGGCTGGATATTCTTTTCTCTTTGACATGGACTAACACATGTTTTAGAGGTGTAGAGCAATCAAATTATTGGCTGGGTTTAGATGAAACGCTATGGCTTATTGTGGGTTATTTATTCCACAAAGAGCTGTGGCACCCATGAATACCAGCTTGCATATTCCATCTTCATTTAAAGATTGTTGTATTGTGTGAACCCAGTGAGCATGAACTAAGAGAAGGTTAAATAACCTATGGCTTTTGCAAAGGTTGTTTAACCCTCACATAGCTCATGGCTGCCATGTCATGTGAACAGATCCATTGTAAAAACTTACTTCCCATGCAACTTTTACAACCTCCATTAGCTCTAGCTAACATAGCCAGTGATGATGGATCTAATCCAGACTATCTGGAAGACCACAGATTGCTACCTCTGCTTTAAATGAAAATATGTTCCAAGAGCTAATATTTAAGAATCTAATAAAAGGAGCCTGCATCCAAGCAGCTCCGCTGTAGGTTCTCTAGATAAGCTGCAGGGTAAAACTGACTGTTGCAGGGTAAAAATTGTCAAATGATGATTGAACATCTCTCTGGAAAATAAGAGTGAGTTATCTCTTCTAGAATTAGAATGATCATATTTTCCAGGAAACAACATTACAGTCTGCTGCCTCAGGGGACATTTGGGTTCAAAGTCAAAATCTTCCTTGTTACTTAAATTTTGCCTTTGATTTCCAAGTATAAGCTGCTGGTCCTGTTGAACACACAGCTTCAGTGGTGTAATTTAATTTTGCAGATTCTGCAGGGAGCTTTCCTTTTCCAGTTCAATTTCATTGGCTGGAGAACTTCCTCTTACTAATTCCTGAACTTATTTATGCAGGATGCCAAAGTTTCATCAGCCTTTTGCCTCTTTGCTGCACTGCATTTGTAAACATGTTGGTCTCAACCTGCATGTGATAGGACAAGAGTGGGAACACACCCATGTGGCCTAGACACAGAGTAATCTCTTTTATTGAACTAATAAACTACTTTAGTTTGCAAAGATAATATTTGTACCTGGATCTCTGTTTTCCATTCAGATTAACCATCATATAGAAGGACTATCTCCTACTTTAAGAATCATTTCTTTAATCTCAGGCTTGCCTTTGGCCATCTCTTCTGTCTTATGCTTGTGACCTGCCATGTTATACTATGTCTCTTACATAGACATAGTATAACATGGCAGGAAAGTACAAGACAATTGTTTTAAATCCACCCTTGTATTAAATCAGCACATTGTGATTATCCCTGTTTTAGGTCTGTCTGAAATAGACATTGCATACATGAAGTCTGAGTAGCTTTTTCATAGAAGCTGGACATTGTAAAATTTGCCCCATAGATCTCCGTGCTTAGGAGCGTTGCCACTTTTTTAGGCAGCTAGGTAGCAAAGGGTCTTTGAATAGGAGCCCATGCACTACACTGGCCTTGACTGAAGGCTTAAAGTCAGGAAACTACTGGATAATCTGGGTCCAGGGAAATGGGCAGGTCCATCTGCAGAAGCCTAGAGGGCCAGATGGGACCCCTGATGGGTTGCATTTGGTTCTGCTCCCTGGCTTGCAAGCATCAGACAGGGTTGAAATTCTACCCAGGGCCAAGACATTTTTCACACAAAACACTCTGCATTTTGTTTCCCTTACCCAGCCATGTTCCCCAACCATGTCCAGAGGTCTATATGATACTTGTGCAAATCAGTGACTTACAGAAGTACCTGCAGGACAGCTACCATTACAGATTTAGCTTGCTTATTTAGACCCTGTCTTCACTGTTCCACTTTCTTTTCATCTACTTTGCCCTCAGAGCTGTTCTCTTTTTGTTTTGCTTAAGCTGTCCTTTCTGAACCTCACTGGTGGTCCCAAGCATTTTCATCCCATGTCAGAAAGTTCTCATTATAGTACATGTTCTCTTCCCACTTCTGCAAAGTTTTCTACATCCTGCTATTTTCTTTACATCAAACAGATTCTCCATGAGTACTTTGTGCTCTTATCTGAGCACCCTCCAATCCATTAGTCTCCAGCTGGAAATAAACTGTTTGGAAAAGAGCCCAGTGTTTATGACTGATCTATGGACTGACTGAGCAGCAAGAAAAGGCACCATTTGTTTTCCAGCAGGAGGTTCTGCTACTGTCTGCTGTCTGAATAGTTTGACTATAACCCCATTTGTTTATTTCTTGCCTTACAAGAAAATATGCCAAAAACACCAGGAATGAGAAACAAGCAAAACAAAAAACAAAAAAACATATTGATTGAATCCAACAATCAAATAGCGATCGGCATCATCTGCAATGCAGTTGCTTTCAGGCGCCACAGCAAGCAAGGATGGAACAATTGGCTGGGTCTTGTCCTAACCACTCCCTCCTCACTGCACCCAACCGCGATGGCTCCACAATCACAGCCAGGGTGGGAGGGAATGCTGGGTCTCCCTGGGAGGAGTCGAATGCGCCTCCTCTGCCCGCAGTTCTAGTGGAAACCAGTGGTATTTGCACAAAGTGGCACTTGGGCAATTTGCCCTCTGTCGTCGCTAGAGCCCCTGGACTACAGCAGCAGGCCTTTTTGGCTACTCTGGCCTAGGGGCTTTCTAGTTGCTCTGAGTGAGCCAGGGTAGTATAGTGGTTAGAGTGTTGGATTGGCATCTGGGAGATCCAGGTTCTGGTTCCCACTTGGCCACAAAGTCAGCAACTCTCAGCTTAACTTACCTCACAGGGTTGTTATGAGGATAAGATCAAGCTTGAGCATTACGCAAACCATCTTGCATTCCTTGAAGGAAAAACGGTGGGGTATAAATAATAAATCAATCACGGCTTAGTGTATTGTCTTGGCTCAGATGACATACTAAACCTTGAGGAGTTCCAAAACTCCACTAAAAGGCATGGTTTGTAAAGCACTCCATGGGAAGCAGCGGTGTTCAGATGACGTGCTAAGCCTTCTGCCCAGTGGCTTAGCATGTTGTGCAAATGCAGCATTTGGGTCTTCAAGGATTAGCTAACTCTCAGACAGTCCCTGCTGCTCATGTCAGGACAACAGGATAAACTGCAGCTGGGACTTGAATAGGCATTGTGCTACCTGTGGGTAGCATGGCCTTTCATGACTTAAAAGAAACCATGGTGGGCTGTAGCTGTTGTGAGAACCAGCTAGCCTGAGGTCAGATACACTGGTCCCGGGCTCCTTAGAGCGTTCAGGGTCAATAGCAGTGATTTGAATTGGGCCTAGAAGCAAAGCTGAAACCAGTAAAGTTCATAAAAATTGAGTTTTCTGCTCTGCACCCTCTGCCATAACTTTCCATAAAACTTACATGGAAGTGAGGTATTCTCTTGTAAGGCTCTGGTTTGGTACTTGTTTATACTCTTATATAATAAAGAATCAGTGAAGTTGCTTAAGCTCAGTTAAGAAAGGTCAAGAGTAGTAAAAACATTTCCATATAATTGGAATAAAGCTAAAATCCTATCTCATCAGTGTGTTGCATATTGATGTAAACATCCCGCATTTACTGACGCCAACTTTAATGGGGAATGGTGTGTGTTGAACATGAAAGAAGCATAAGCAGAAAAAATGAATTATTTATATTCACAAGCTTTTAAAAAGGCAGTGTTTTGGGTCTTAGTGTTCTAAATATATAGTTCTTTGTATTTGTTAGCTACCTGCTTTTATTTTCTTTGAAAAAGTTCATACTGGAAATGTTTATGCCCCAAATTGCTATTTTTATGATACTGTATTTTTAAATGGTATTTTTCATTTTATATTATCATCAGGCATGACAACAATGTTATTGGATGGCTTTATATAAATACAATCAATCAGTAAATAAATAGGATTAGACAGAATGACCAGAGTTGTAAATGAAATAATTTGGGCACAGTATATTATTTGCATACTTTCCTTTAGTATTTATATCAGAGATGGGTGCTCTAAATAAGCTGTGATCCACTTGAGCTATTTCAGTCTAATTATTAAGATCACAGGAGTTGGCATAAGCTGCTGTTGCAAAAAAGAACACTAGTTCTGAATAGTTTACACTTCTAATTCTTTCAGGGTTGGTTCAATTGTCACTTCTGAAAGTAACGTCTGACTCTGTAGTGTCAGGATGGAAGACAGAGGAATGAATGTGGGAAAGAAAAAAGAGTGGAAACAAGAAAGCCAACCATTGCCCAACAGAAACTATACACAAACTTCTAGGGTGCAGTCAGATGAGTCTTGTATAGTACTATTGTCCTGCCTCATTCGCAGAATTTTACAGGGACAGGTGCATGGGTTCAGTCATTGTTGTCATCCACTTGTACCCCTTCCCATCTTTTTTTCCTATCAGAGAAAATCCATTAAGGGAAAAAGGCAGAACTGCAGCACAGCACGTTCTAACACCCTAATAGTGCTAGGTAGGTTTTCATAATGTTGGTTTTCATAATTTGGCCCCCTGGATTCTGGTTTGGCAGTCCCATCCTAGCAGCAACTTGCTGTGGTGTGAACTGAGCCAGCTTGTGGACTTCTTTCTCTAAGACAGGCCAGGATTTGTAATTTGATAAAAAATCAGTAAGGAAATTTCCACAATTCAAAAATTGGAAGCAAAAAGTTGTCATTTTAGTGCAATTTATGCAAAATCACACGATTTGCACAGATCACACTAGTCCGATTTATACCAATTGTGAAGAAATTTCTTGTCTTTTGATGCAAAAAACATGGCCTGTTTTAGAGATGGAAGTCTACCCTGACTCAGGCTGCTTCTCATTATCAGATCAGAAGTGAATGGGAAATCAACGGAGATCAAACAAGCCGAATTTCCCATTGTCTGCACATCTCTAGTGCTAAGAGCCCTCCATTTGGAAGGAACCCCATTTTGAGTCTTCCATTATCAGAGTTTTTTCACATGAAGACTAGAAGTAAATTCCCAGTGGAGACTGTAATACACATTACTCTGATGGACACAACATGTCCCATGATAAAAATCCAGATAGTGCAGTGCATTGTGATTATAAATGTTTCTAGACTGCTGTGATGCAAAGTAGTGTTGAGCTTGAAAGTAGCAGTTTCAGGTTTAGCTCTGTGCTCATCCGTGTAGTTTCTTACCTTTGCTTGCCCTGGTCAATCTCACAAAGTTGTGGGAACAAGTAAAGAATATGACCTGGTGTAGTGTTCCAGTTGGGAATTGGGAGTCCTTGGTTCACAGCTCAGCTCATCCTTGACCTCACTACGTGGTTGCAGGGAAACCACTGATCTCTCAGATACATAATGGAGATGATAATGCTCCAGAGTACTGCCAGAATTTTTAAAGGCTATTGTATTGTGGATGAAGTAGTAAGATAAAACACCATATGGAAAGTGTTGTTCTTATACGTGCTGCCAAATAACCACTTAATAGCAGTCCTGCTCTGAAATGAGAACAAAATTAAAATACATCCGAAGAGAAGGGCTGCGGATGCTGGTTCTGGTAGTCATCTGGAGTCATCCCTGCTCTGGCTAACTGAATGCTGTAGCTCTGAGAGTTCCCCGTGGATAATGTGGGGAATGGGAGCCCTTGCCACAAAAGGCCACCGACTGTTCCTTTTGAGAATTACCAGCCATGCTGTGAAAGTCACCTTCCCTTTTCTCTCTGGTTGGCTGAAGGCAGGTCCTCCCCGTCCCTAACCCCACCCCCCAGCAGTCTTGTTTCTTTCCACCCAGGAGTCTTGGTCTCCAAAGCTGTCAAGGAGCGCTGTGGGCAAGCTGTATGATACCTTTGTTCCGAGGCTGAGTGATCTCTTTGTGTTTGTGTTTGCCAGGATACCAGCACATTCAAGCTTCCCTCTCATTTTGAGGAAGGAAGGGAAAAATGCCCATATGACCCTGCCCAAGGCTACACAGGTCTCATTGTAGGTATGTACTTGCCTTCTCCCAGACTCTCTTCCATGCTGCAGTTTTGTTTGGATTTACCCAGAGCAGGAGATTCCTTTCTGGAGCCTGTGGGTTCTTTGGGGGAAGGCATCAACAAGTGATCTGAAGGGCCTGCGCATTCCCATCGCTTCCTTTTTGATGCCAGAGCATCTGCAATCTCTCTGCCTAGACTAGCAGGATGCATGTGGCCACTTGGCAGCTACAACATGGATGGGGCGATGCACTGGTTCTTTCTCAAACGTTCTCTCTGTACCTGGTACTATGGGGAAAGCATCCACGGCTATGGGAAGGTTGGTTTAACAAGGGCAGAGGCCTTTCATTCCAGGCCTAGTTAGGGAGATTGTTGATCACATGGTGAGCAAAACCAGTAAGCTACTGAGTCCATTCCAGGAACCCACCTTTCCTTACCTCCCTTTCTGTTATTCATCTCCCAGATGGCAGCTTATATACAGCAACACGCTATGAATTTCGCAGCCTGCCAGATATCCGACGCAACTGGCAACAGGGGACTCTGAGGACTGAAGAATCCCCCTTGCATTGGTTAAATGGTAGGTGCCACTCATCCCAGCACCACATCACATGGCTCTCTGGCCTTGCCTGCACAGGAGATGGAGAGTTGTGCACTTGTAAGATCTGTAATGCTGCTCTCATTTCTGAAGCCCTCACCTGTTTTGCTCTGGAAAAGAACTCCAGCAGGGGTGCCCTGCCCCAGACCTGCAGGCCAAATTTGGCTCCCCTGGAATCATAGACTGGCCATCTGAGTTCCTCTAGGTGGGTCTTCTCCCTTTCCCTCTGCCTCAATCATTACACCGTTTCTCAGCTTTTGCAGGTTTTTTTCCTCCTCCTGAAAGGTTGAAATGCCTTTCTCAAGGCATCGTTATTGGCAATAAGCACTTCCAACTACAGTATGCTGGAATCTTTGATATTTGACCCTGCTTTTTTGCTTTGGACCCTCTCTTTTTGTCTTTGGCCAGAGAGACCAAAGGTGGCCCCCAAGGAAGGTGGAAGATGGCCCCCAAGCATTTCTCCAAGATTAGGCTGAAAGATGTTAGACACCCTTGAACTTTAGCAAGCAACCTAGAAAGTTTGCTTTGGAAAGATTTGAATCCAGTTTGTGCCTGATTCTAGGGAACAGAGCTTCCTGATTCTGTTGCTGGTAGCTGGCGTTTCTGTTGCTAATCCCTGGACAGACCCATGCTCCACAGTATGCAAGTCATCTACTCTCCCAAACAGTGCTCCTTGAGCACATCTGGAAACAGCAGACAAATGTTTTCCCTCATCTTGGTTTATGCAGATGCTGAATTTGTAGCTTCCGTGCTTGTCAAGGAGAGTGTCCTCAGCCCTCTGGGAGATGATGACAAGATCTACTACTTCTTCACTGAGCGAGCTGGAGAGGAGAGCACCTCTATGTTTGATAAGACGCCAGCACCCAGGGCAGCCCGGGTAGCTCGAGTGTGTAAGGTAAAGAGACAGGCATGCTGAACAGGTCTAAGTGTGCTACAAGGCAGCAGGATCTTTTATTCAGCTTCGTAAACAAACTGTGTGTGTGTGTGTGTGCGTGCGCGCATGCACAAGTGAATGAGCAAAAGGGATGTGTGTTCCCTTTTAAAATGCCTCTGTGGTCAAAGGGTCATTCATTTAAAAAGGGGAGCTAAGGATTGAACTGGATGTTACATGGAAGATCTCGCTCTCCTGACATCTATTTTTCATTAAAGAGAGCTGTGACGGTGGAGGTGGTAGGAAATCTGTGTGGGGATGTTGTGTAAGGAAAGGGAGTGTGTTATTCAATTTAACTGCTTCTCGCAGCACAGTTTTCACAACTAGCCCTGCCCCTCCTGCTGCCATTCTGTGTCTGTGTGTGTTGGTTGGGGGGGGGTGGTATTGACAGATAGCTATGCTATTCTGTGCCAACCTTTGTTCTCTCTCCTTACTAATAGCAGCTTTGGGAGGAAAAGGGAATTTAAGTCAGTGAAACGGTGCAGGGGAATGAGTTAAGAAAAACAGATTCCAGCAAAATGAGAAAATATGCTCAAATGTTGAACTTTGCTGTGGAGGAGCAGGGAGCCTTAAACTAATTTCTTGCCATTTAAAAGGGTTACATGAGCACTCACATGGATAAGCTCTTATCCCTCCATATACTGAAAAGCAGGCCTTTGAACTGCAGAGCAGATTTGTTTTCCCTCCTGTTCTGTGTTAGATGTTTTAACTGGGTGCTATTTTTATGTGCTCTTGCTTGTTTTTAAGATGGTTTAATATTCTTTAAGTTATATTTTATTGTGAATTTTACTGTTGTTACCCAACTTTGATGTATTGTATGAAAAGGTAAGACATAGGTGTAATAAAAGAAACAAATAATCAGATAGCATCAGGAACATCCCAGTTGCTTGGTTGTGTAAGTGCCTAAATATTGGGTGCTGGCATTTAAGACTCTTGACATTCAGCCATTGGTCTGCAGGACAAGCATCTTACTTAGTAAGTTTTGGGAATTTGAAATATCTTTTACAGCTCGCTCATCAGGTGCAAACAGGCTCAGGCAACTGATGCCAATTGCATAAAAACTCATTGCTCCAAGAGAGGGTGGAGGGTCAGTAATTCATGCAAGCATGCCCTGCAGGTCATGGGTGAATGAAGACACAAACGCCCTTGGGCTGGGCAAGTGATGCTTAGACTTAGCCTGCCTTTTCCAAGCTGATTCTAGCCAGTTCATATCCATTTTCTATGTACAGACTACTTTCCTTCTGGAGGCAGTAACTGGGATTGGGGCATATTTCCTTTTCATCGCATACTCTAGGAATCTGAGACTCAAATGGGTTTTCACCCATTAGAGCTAGAGATGCCCCTTTGACTGGAGAGAGGATGACTGAATCTGAAATAATGCTCTGATTAAGATGTATATTGGAATGGTATGGGCTTCACAAGCACCATTTGTGAAGTACAGTGAGGGATCTCAAATCTGAGGATACTGAGTCTTGAGTCTGCCTGTGTTTGGTGTGTTGTTGTTGTTATCACAGCCCATACTCCCTTTGCATGCTGCCAGGCCCTTTACTCCTTAGATTTTAGGTTTTGGAAAAATTACCTTTCTGATAAAGACCATCATGATTATTCTTATTAGCCCATTTGCATTATTATCCTGATTCTCTTCTTACTTCTTGGAAGATATTTTGCTAACAGTCATGGCTAAAACACCTTTACTGTCCCATGGGATTGTGAAACTGGCTCCCCTGAATGCTGGTGAGATACCATGCAGGTGGCATCCAACATCTGGAATGCCAGCAATAGGCAGTTCTGCATGATGGATGCTATGTGAAGGTTGGCCCAGGGAGATGCACAGCATGACTGCATTTATTCAGAAGTAAATCTCCATGGAGTTCAATGGGATTGGGACCTGTGTGTGTTTAGGATGGCGATCCCAGGTTCAAAGCCCTGCTGAGGAATTTTGTAGATCATAAATTTCATAACCTTTTGTTAACCACCCAGATAGCTTTGGCTATTGGGTGGTGTAACAAAGAAACAAATAAATAAAAAATCACAAAATCATTGTAAAATTAGTCTACCTCACAGGATTGTTGTGACAACAATGATGGACAGCTGCCTGGAAGAAAGCAAATGTGTGAATTGAATAAGGTAGTCTTCCCCAGCCTGTCACCCTTGAGATGTGTTAGTTTGCAGTTTCCTTAATTCCCAGACAGCATGGCTAGTGCTGGTTGGGGATTATGGGGCTTGTAGTTCATCAGATTGGAAGGGCATTAGGAGGGGAAAGACTGGTGTAAAGATCAGCTAAACAATTCAATGCAGCATGTATTGCAAAGACAAGCACCATGTCTTTTCTGTCCATGAAACCAGAGGAGGTATAGCTCTGATGGAGAAGATAGAAGCTTCTCGCTGTGCTTGTGGCAAAGTGCCCTTAGCCCCAGAACAAGCCACATCACTCCGGTAACTGCAGCCGTCAGCACTGTTCTTGCTGCAGCTGAAGAGGCTTTTGAGAAGGAAAGATTGTCAAAGCAGAAGCACTTCCACTTGGCCTCCTCTATGCACCACCAGATCTATCTAGAAATCCATATTCCTTAAAGGGTTTTGCCAACCCCCCTGCAAGCACGAGTTCCCATGGTGGCTTGAGAACACAAACAGGACAGAGCTGGCAGGACTGTGTGGGATCCATCTTTCAGATAGTTCCAGGCTCAGAACATCAGGGGGTTGGCTTGGTGCTCTGGATTTATGTTCCAGTCTCCTTGGCTGGTTATACTTCATTTCTTGCAACCAGGACAGTAAATAGCAGAAAACTGGAGCAGCTGCAGGAGGAATTGCAGAATGAGCCTGGAGATTTAAGGAGCTTGAGAGGTATGCCTCAGTTCAGGGTTGAAAGATGATTTGATTACTGACATAAGTATGTTCCCAGAACAAAAGTGCTAGGAAGGGCCAGAATGGGAGCCTCATGGCAGGAAGTTAAGCATACATTCAGCATAGAAATAAAATAACATGGTGAGGAGATTAGGACTGACTCTCTGGGAAGAAAACGTGCACCATAACAGCTAGGTTCCTATTTCTTTGGCAAGGGGCTTTGTTTGCATTCTCCAGGGTCTGAGGCTTCATCTTACATCTTGAAACAGGAGCCATTTTGTCTGCATGTGTCCCCTTGACATTATGTTGTGCTTTGTCACAAAGGGAAGGGGAACAGCCAAGTCACTCACAAGTGCTTGCTGAATTTGACTCATGGGGGAATCTTTCAGAAAGTGCAAGATGAGCCCAGATTAGTTTTCATTTTATAGCACTGGAAGTTCTTCAGGGACTCATTCCTTCAATGTTGATGAATTTGTGATGGCTCCTCAATCAGCCATTGGTGGTTACCTCTGGGGGAGATATGTAGCCCTTCAGCAGACGCTAAGCCCTACCAAAACGGTTTAGCAGTGATGGGTCTGTTTTGGTAATGCTCAAATTGCACAGGGATGGGGTAGTCCTGCATCTCCACATTGAGCAAATCAATACAAGTGCAGGATGCTTCCATTCACATGGAGAGCACCTCTTGGCCATGTTCTCTTCCCCCCCTCTCCGCTTTTCCTGGGCCTTTTTATGCAGAACTAGGGTGTGAGGATGGGATCTTTCTACTGTATTGGAGCTAGGGTCAGCTTTGCCCTTGATTTTATTTAACAGATTTTATTTATGGGTGCAGAACCTCTTTCAACCTGAGGGGAAATGCCATTGAGGAGAAACACTGGCCACATTCCACTGGTGGCTGGGCTGAAACAAAAGGGTGAGAAACAAATATATCTTAAAGTGTTTGCTACTAGTAACCAAGCCATAGAGGAATCATTTCTGCCATTTAGAATAGAGAAAAAGCTGCACAAAAGCCGGGGAACCAACCAGTAGGATAAGTGGTTTCGGGGAAGGACGTGTGACCTTCTGGGGGGGCCCAGAGGACTAGAATGGCACTTCTGTGGGGCAAGAGGTTCTGCGTCCCTGGTTTAACATTCCTTTGAGCTGAATAAGGGCTCTGCTTACTCTGTCCCTCTTTTCTTCATTCCAGAATGATCTGGGCGGCAAGAAGATCCTCCAGAGGAAATGGACCTCCTTCATGAAAGCCAGGCTGGCCTGCTACGTCCCCTACTATGAAGTCCTCAAGGATGTTTACAGTCTGGATGGTGGCGACTGGCGAAGCACTCTCTTCTATGCAGCATTTACCTTGTCAGCACAGTGGTAAGCCGAACTTACTTTTTGCTGTGTTGGGGAACAAACTGGCTGTAACTCCTCAGGAAAGTTGCCTTGGAAGCTATTGCAGGCACCCCCATGGATATTGGTGCTCAACTTGCCGCCCCAGCAAAATGGCAAATAAAGTGCTCAAGATTGCTAGGCATTGGAGCGGAAAACTGCAAGGAGTGCCATGGTACCCTTTAGCACTTGGTGCAGCTCTAATCCTGCCTCCTTGCATCCTGCACCGTAGCGCAAGTAGGCAGGTAGAGCATTGAAGCAAGGAGCACTTGCCTTGCATGCTTGGGGTTTCCAGGAGGGAACATTTACACAACCTACTCATGTCGGATTTCAAGACAGCAAGTATGAATTCAGTCCACTTTTGAGGAGTTACTTATCATAGGAACGTGGAAGCTGCCTTATGCTGAGTCAGACCATTGGTCTATCTGGCCCAGCATTGTTGACACGAGCTAATAGTGGCTGTCCAGGACTTCAGACAGGGGCCTTTCCTAGGGCTAGCTGAAGAAGCTGGAGATCAAACCTGAGGCTTCTTCTGTGCAAAGAAAGTGTTCTGCCATGCAGTCCGTATGATTCACATGTATCATTCTAAATATTCAAGGAAAGTCAGCTCACATTGAAAATGAAACGGGCTATGTCAATCAGTCTTAATCGTAAACAGGACCTTAGCTGCTTAGATTGCTTATGGCTCTGGCAACACTGTCTTCGACCTCCTCTGGTATTTCTTGTGCTCTACTTCTAAATGGGGTTCATTCCACTTTTTTCAGTGCTGTGTTGCCTAGGTCTCTTTTGCTGGCTGGGTTTTAATGACTCCTCCATCTCTCTTGCCCCTCTGTCTAGGGATTGCTGGTGGGCAGGTGGGCAGAACACAGTTCTGATTGTCAGTAAAACGCTTATTGTCCTTGTACATATTTTGCCACCTGAGACTGATTGAGTTGGCTGAAGCATTCCTGGCTAAGGACAAGGAACACATGGGATACTGAGTGCACTTTAGTAGGGGAAGTCCTCTGTGAGCATCTGTGGACTACAGTAACAACCGTAGCTGCATATGCAGGAGGCTGTTGGTGGTGCGACTAAGAATGGGCCCCGTCATTCTCATTGTGCTCACAGGAACAATTGGATGTCTGCCGCAACTGTTAGCTGCTGAGCTTTTTCTTCAGCATTTCTGGATTCAGCCCAGGCAGAAATCTTAGCCAGTCTTTGGAATGTTGGGTTAGCTGTTTAGGTTAGTATGTTCTGCTCAGTTAATTAGCACCACTGTGTTGTTGTGACTTTGGTCATCTGGTGGGAGATTTCTGTTTTTATCAAGAGGGCAGCCACAGAACTACGGCCCTCAGTGGGAAGGAAGCTGTATGTTATGCTGATTAACACTGGCAAGTGAGCCTCAAAGGACTATTTTGAATGTATGGGATATTTTGCTCATGGCCTTGCCAAATTTGACAGGAAAAGGGTTGAAACCAGGGTGGGCAACCCTTTGGAAACTTAGGATTGCATATCTCACTGGCAAGTTCTTGGAGGATTTATTCTTGCAGTAGGCATAGCCCTAGGCAAAATCTAGGCAGGCAAATTCATGGGGTGTAAGGCTATTGATGGCTACTAGTTCCAATGGCTATATGCCAGTCACAGACTCAGATACAGCATGCTTATTTTTATATAAGTACATTCTAACTTTGTACCAAAAATGACACTCAAGGTGGCCATGAACATGTCCATCTTGCAGGTGTGGGATGTCAATGCTGAGCTTGGCTGTTGGGTGAAGAGGAAGAGAGATGGACAGACAGATGGAGACAGAGACAGAAAAAGATGGCAGACAGAGAGAAAGAAAAGGGAACTAGCCCAGCCACTTTGAGGCTTGCCCTGACTACCACTGGTTGTGGCCTCACCACTGTCATGAATCTGCTTGCCAGCTTGTCCCTGAGGGAATGTCCCTCTCACTAACAAAGACCGGAAAGAGGTCTATTGCTTCATGCCTGTAAGCTGGTCCTACCCCCACATATTTCAGGAGGAGCATGGAGGTGTCTGTCGTCTGCCGATACAGCATCTCTGAGGTACGGGCAGCCTTTGAAGGAACCTACATGGAATACCAGGACTCTTCCCGCAAGTGGTCCCAGTACAGTGGGGAGGTGCCAGAGCCTCGGCCAGGATCAGTAAGTCGTTTTCTTTTTCCTCTCACTCAGATAAAACAAATGGCCAGGCTGGTTGCAAATGGTGGGAGGTGCTATCCAAAGCCCCTGTTAAGCACTGTGTTGGTGAAGCCTGTCCTGCGGAGCCCAGGGGCTCAGAGCTAAAGCAGACAAGGAGAAAGCCCTGCATAGTGTAATTCTAGGTGAGCTTTATTTAAAAATGTATAGACTGCCTTCAGGGCAGTATACAAAAATTAGATAACCGTTACAATGAAGGGGTTGTATGAGAATGCGTTTCTACAGAGGAAAAATCTCCATGTCCACCAAACAAGACAATTCCTTGCTAGCCTTTTCCTTGATATGCTCATCTGGAGTATACAGGGAGATTTGCTGCAGGGAGAGTTCAGTCTGCTAGCTGTAGTGTGATACAGTGCAATACAACCACAGGGGATCTTTTTGGGGTATAACACTCTTGGAGGAGAAGAGAGCAACTGCTTTTGATCAGATTATTGCCCTGGATCTAGTTGGCAGGCCAGATGATATTAGGGGATAGGCCCTTGCCCTCAAGCCCCTCTGCTCTATGACATCATCTGCCCCAACCCTACCTACTTCAAAAAACAAAAACAAAACAAAACAAAAAAAAAACAAAAACAAATTCTCCAAGCAGAGAGCAGGGAGTTCCTGGGCCCTGAGTGCCATGCCTGTCTGCATACAGAAAGGGCTTTGCCGGGGTTTGCAGGATCCGGCTCCTGCATGGCCAGCTGAGTCAGGCTGGTCCTTTCTGTACAAGCAGTTCAGGGGAATCCACAGCTTTTCTCCAGTCTCTCTGATCAGAGATAACAAAGGGATTTCCCTTTGCACCAGGCATGTGGAGCTGGGGCAGGGACTTGAGCTTGCTTACCCATTGTTAGATCCTCGAAGCTGCATTTGTCACTCATTCCCTTTTTCCACTGCAGTGCATTACCAGTCGTGCTCGTGGACGAGGCTACAACTCCTCCCAGGACTTGCCCAACAGTGTACTGGATTTTATCAAGCTCCATCCACTGATGTATGAAGAGGTAAAACCGGCTGATGGGGGCCCGCTGCTGGTGAAGAAAAATGCCATCTATACCCAAATAGCAGTAGACAGAGTCCAGGCCCTGAATGGGCAGGAATATGATATCCTCTTCTTGGGAACAGGTGGGTTTGCCTGGATTCAGTGTGTGTCCACGTGCATGCACTTTTATCCACATACCTCAGGAAATGCAGGGGATTTGCCATCTGCTCCCTTAACCTTCTATCAAGGGATGGACAAGTTGTGGCCCTCTAGATGTTCTTGAACCATAGCTCTCATCAACACAGCTGATGGTAAGGGTTATTGGGAGTCACAGCCAAGCATCCAGAAGACCTCAAGTTGCCTAACTCTGTTATATTGGAATGTTGAGAGTGGGTGAGCCTTCTAAACTGTATTGACAAATATCTGCTTTTTAGCAGGAGAAGCAGCTGGAGTTTTGTGGGTGGTAGGAGACTCCCTTAAGCCAGACATAGGCAGCCGGGTGCCTTTCAGATAGTTTGAGCTTTGCCAGGTTGGCTGCAGTGATGGAAGTTTTAGTCCAAAACATCTGGAAAGCACCCATTGTAAATTCATTCATTCACTCATTTATTAGATTTACATCTTGCCTTCTGTTTTGAAGAACTCAAACTGGCTTACAACATTCTTCGCCTCCTGCTCTCATTCTTATTCCCAAAACAACAATCCTGTGAGGTTGACTGGGCTGAGGGTCTGTGACTGGCCCAAAGTCACCCAGTTGGCTCCATAGCTGAGTGGGGACTAGAACCCCACTCTGCGTGACTCAGTTTTGACCGACAGTCATCATGTTGCCCTAATCAGCTGCAAAAAAGATTTTTGTAGACAGGCTGTGCTCTACCTTCTCCAATCTTTGCTTCATGCCTCCTTATATGTATAGCCTGAGAATCAAATCCCTTCTTCTGCTTTGCCGCTTCCCTGCTTCAGGCAGGCTGAATGCTTTATCTGATGTCTGTCTGTTATCTTCTCTTAACAAAAAAAATCATTAATGACAACCTTTCCCTGCCCCATCAAATCAGAGTTTGCTTCCTTTTTAATAATTGAGAATTTGCACTGAGCAGAATGAAAGGTGACTTACACCGAAGTTTCACAGTGGAACTCCCAAAATTGGAGGGGGTGAGATTGGATGGTGTTTAGAATTCTGTTAGCTGCTCTCAGAGAAGCATAGTTCCTTGTATTTTGGAGAGGAGAGGAGATGGGGAAGCTATTGCAGGGAGGAACTGTTGCATGCACTACCCTATACTATCCCTTACAGTATAGACAAGCTGTGCATTATTCAAGCACACTTCTTTCTCTTGTGCATCTGGGAATGGATGCATCCTTGCACCTACCAGCCAGATTCAGGAATACAACCAGGGCTGGCCAAGCACGTTCATTTTTCCTGTCATGGCTCATGCATGAGACTGTATGGATAATTTTTCTCTTGCCCTTTTTAACATTTATTGCCTTTGACCAGGTAATGGCTGGATTCACAAGGCCATGATTATTGGTTCCATGGTCCACATCATAGAAGAGATTCAGGTCTTCCGAGTCGCACAGCCTGTGGAGAACCTCATCATTTCTAAACAGCAGGTACTACTAGTTTCAGTCTCTCCATCACCCCCGCCAGAAAAAAGCATCTTTGGGGTGCAGTGCCCTAAGAGTCACACATTGGCTGGGTTTGCATGATCACTGGGCAAAGTCACAGTGGCTTCTTTTTCCTGCTTGGCATGTGCCAGTCACACACTATATGATTTGCCAAACTACCTTTGTGGCACAGAAATCACCATGTCATCTGGACCTGGCTTGGTGTACAGCAGGGGTGGCTTTGAAACCCCTCCAGAATCCATGGCTTCTTGCAGGGCTCTGCAGTGGCTTGGAGGCCACTCCCTATCATGAATATCGATATGTTCAGATAGCATAGTGATCCACGTGCTGCAAAGGTAGTTAGAAAAATCATGCAGCATGTGACTGGCACATGCCAAGCAGGGAAAAGAAAGCCACATTGTCACTTTTCTTGAGTGAAGGTGCATACCCAGCCATTTTGTTAAATATCAGTGCATAGGAAAGGTTGCAACTAAGCATATGATGCAAGGAATCTTGTGTCAGGTGAGGAAACAAAGCTCTGTGACACAAGCTGATGCCTCGTGTTAGCAAACCTCTGTGTCACGGAGCACCCAGATAAGAGAGTAAAGTGCAGTCGTTACCTTTCCTGCCCACCTTCAGTGACAGAGAACTATTAATATGAGGAAACATTCTGTCACAATGTGGTTCTTTCCTGTACCTTGCTTTCTCCGGTCAAAAAATTACTGTGTGGAATGTGGGTGGATGTTTCTTAAATTTTGTTTCCTGCTGTCTCAACCAATTGGGTAACTCTAGATAAAGCAGTGCCTTAAGGGTGTGTATTGGCCCCCGCATTAGCAAAGTTTCTCCTGCCCAAGGGTTTGTTCCTTTTCCCAGCATGCATTCTGGAGGATGCTGACATGTCCTCCGTGAGGCCCTTTGCAATCCAAGTTTACCTATTTTCCTCCCTAGCTTCCAGATGTCCCCCCATTACTTCTTGGCTAGGATTGCCACTTTGTGCTCTGGTTTTCATGTTCTAACAACTGACCTGACAGGCAGCAAGTCCATGGATATGGGCTGAACTCCCATGGGAGCAAATGCTGTGTTCCCATCTGCAAAAAGGTAGCAGCCCTATTGCTGGCTTGGTCCATGGATCCTTTTCACTGTGACCAAGCTTAAGGCTCATTGGTCTGGTTACATGGTGAAGGCATCTTGCCTCTAAAACTTGCTAACTGGAGAATCGAAGTCTGACACCTGGAGGACACCTGGCCAGGGAAGGTTATTCACTGTGCCTACCACTTCTCTTTGGACTATCTCCAGCTCTGGGACATTCCTGGGGTTCCTACCCTTTTTACTGACTGGTCCTGTTCCTGTTTTACCCATCAGCCTGACTCACAGGTGTTGCCTACTTTTCCTGCGTCGGACATAAGATTAGCCCAGTCTCTGTGCATCACACGTATGGGCTCTGAACATATGCGTGGAGCCTATTTGGGAAGATTCCAAAGCTAATTATTATTTGGTGGGAGCTCCTCCCTGGGTAGATCCTGGTGTGAGGGAGGGGCATCCGCCTGGTCCTCAGTTCTTCTTTGACCAACTTCTTGGGTACATCAGGAAGTTCCTCCTCTGCTCCTCATACCTGTTCACTTGCCTTCTCTCTGTGGGCCTTCTCCTCTCTGTCTAAAACCCCCTCTTCTCAAATTCTTTTTTCACACTTTCCTCATACTCTTATATCGCTCCACTTTCCTCTAGCGCTCAATGCCTCGTGCTCTCCCCTCCCTGCTTTGTCTCACCTTCCCAACCCCACAAGGGCACTCAAAGCTCCATTTAGAAAATGTTTGCACTGTGGCAGCAGACTACTGCTGACTGACAGACACTTGCTCTGTCTCTTCTGTCTGGAAGAGATCCACGTGGTGGAGTCCTGCTACCACTGCCAGGCATTTACTGAGCAGGTGGGAAAGCACAGGGCTGACAACCTGACAGTGGAGCTCAGGAGCAGAGCCCTCCATGGGACTGGCTTCTCCCTTGTCCATGAGAGCAACCGTTAACATTAGTGCCCCTGGCTTCTTCTGCACCTCCTGCAGTGATGGATAGACCCTCTTCAGCCATTTCCTGGGTGGACCATTTGTCAAAGATTGACAAGGTCAAGAAATTGGTGAAAAAGGTGAGGGCCTCCAAAATGGCCAATGCATTGAAATCCAAAGATGATGCAGAATGCTCTAAGACTTAATTGCCATGACAAGACACCCCCTACTGACACCCTGCATATCTTAGACACAGAACACAAGCCTGGTCTCAATCACCATCTCTTGCTGGCACCAAGATGTCCAGGTGGCTGCAGCACCTACATGCTTGGTGGCCCTGACTACATCATTTTTGGAGGGGGAGCTAAGGGACTCCTGTCTGCCTAGGCAGTGAGCAGCTTCTGTTGCCTCAGGACCAAGGAATGCCTCTCCTTCACTGATTCCAAGCAAAGCCCACTCCATCGAACTTGACTGGCCTAAGTTCCGTTCCCACTCACCTGTCTCCACATGGGACTGCAGATTCGACTGGTTGATGCCCCCATAAAGGAGGGACCATTACAAGGATTTTTACCATGATCATGGGACAGAGCCCTGATGTGCCAAGGCCCCTCAGCCCAAACTGAGACTGTCAACATTCAGGCCTGCAAAAGATGCCAGAACTCAGTGCTTACCACTGCACAGGTACTGGTAGCCCATTGACCTTCAGGCCTTGGTCTCAAGCATCGGATTCTGGTGGCTACCCATCTGACCCAGAGTCCTGCTCATTTCACTGACCCAATGTTCTGAGCCTTCATCGGATGCAACAGTGGCCTCCCTAGATGAACCTTTGTTGTTGGAAGATCTGGGAATGGTCTCTGAGCAAGTCCAGTAGAGGGCACACAGTCTGGGGCTGAACACGTAGCGGGAACCCAGGTGTTCAAGGCAGTTTATGCAGAAACCATGGGCCCAATGGCCATAACCTTGCTGACTACACTGATGGAATCAGTATGACAGAAATGGAAATCCCCTGTCTGCATAGCCTCGATACCTAAGAGGCTTGAGAATATGTACCAGGTGCAGAAGTAGGATGCGCCATTCCTGTTCCAGCACCCATGCACCAACTCCATCATTGTGGAGCCAGCCCTGGCATCTTCTGGGGGGACCACTTCATGCCAGCAATAAAGAAGTCTGCTGCCTAGACTCAGTAGGATACCACTTTTACTCTTCTGTCGTACTGGCCCTTCAGGTGGAGAATTACTACGCCACCATGGCTATGTGCCACCTTATGCTGTGGAACAGGATCACCTCCCTATGCGAATCCCTCCTGAGTGAATCACAGGACCTGGCCAGTGACATGAGAGACTGGCTAAGCCACCAGGCGATCCACACAGTCAGGCATCAAGTGGAGTACTGTGCAAGGAATATGGCCGGGGTGATAGGCCTTCAATGATACACCTGGCTCCAGTCATCTGGACCAAAGCATGGGCCCAAATAGAGGACATGACCTTTGACGGGAGGGCATGTTCAATGTGGGCATGGATGAGCAGATGGACTTGGTCCAGAAGGCCAGGAAGAGTGCCCAGAGGATGGGTCTGAACCAGACACTGCAACCCAGACACTGTGCCCCACCTGCACCGCCCTAGCTAGCTGTATCAACCCAGAGCCCAGGCCTCTTCTGCCCTGAGGCGTAGATCAGTTCCCCAGCCTAGACAAAGGAATCCCCCCCCCCCGACACTCACCAGGGCCCTCAGGGCCCAAATGTTGCCAGAAGACAACTGTGAGTTTGACCACTAGCTGTCCACCCCCAGCCACCCACCTTTGGCCACTGGCTCAGACCCTTTTCCCACCCTTGGGCTGAGATCACCTTGGACTCCTGGACCCTTTCAATCATTCAGCCATGGTTACAGGATCAAATTCAAGGACCTTCCACCTCTTAATACTATCAGGGACACAACGCCCTTTGTTGTTCAACCCCCTTTGTTCTCTTCTCTCTTGGAAGAGATCGGCTCCTTGCTGCAAAAAGGAGCCATTGCACGCATAAGCCCCAAAACCAGCCAGGAGTTTTCCTCCAGATACTTCATGGTACTGAAGGACGGGGGACTGTGGCCTTTCCTGGACCTGAGAGGCATCAGCCACCTCATGAGACCCAGGAAGTTCTGCACAGTCAAGTTACAAAATTTTCTCCTGCTGCTGCGAGGAGGAGAATGGTTCACTTTGGTGGACCTGAAGGATGCCTACTTCCATATGACCATCAAGGAGTCCTACAGGTGCTTCCTCTGCTTCCAGGTCAGGAATGAGGCCTTCCAGTTCACTGTCTTCCCCTTTGGCCTTAAAACAGCACTGCATATTTATACAAAGTACATGGGAGTAGTCTGCACCCACCTCTGCCTACAAGGGGTCCAGGTCTACCCACATTCGGACTACTGGCTGATTGTAGCCCCATCAAGGCAAACTGCAGCCCAGGCCACCACTGCCATGTGTGACCCACTGTCCCATATGGGCCTCTATATAAATACAGAGGTTCCTGCCAAATACTCATTGGCTCGGACTCTTCCTGAACAGGCTGCACTCCTGCATGCAGAGCCTGTATGTGTAAATGTACAGATGATCACGCAAAGAACGACAGTTACAGGTAAGCAACCTACCTTTCCTGCCTCTTGTCCAAGGAAAGAATGTAGGATGAGCCACAAGGCTTAAGTAGCTGCATGCGCAAGGCCAGGTCCTTGCTGTGTTTCACTGCTTCCCTCTGCTGGAAAAACACCAGTGCTGCAGCGTCCTGTCACCAGTTCATTAAGGGCACAATCCTATGCAAGTACAAGAAAAAGTTCTAGTCCTGCAACTCCCAGAGTTCCCTAGGCTGGCTGAGAGTGCTGGGAATCGCTAGACTTTTTTTTCTACCCAGGCATGCATAGGATTGCATCCTAAAATGTTGCAGCTTCTTTGATTCCATCTCAGTAGCTGCTTAGAGGTAGACAAGCACCCTGATCCTGCAGAGGATGTGGCATATTGGTGGTCTCGGGCTAACCTTTGGCACTACAGTTCTGGGTTGTTGCTGAAGTGGTGGCACATTTCCAATTCTGCCTCGTAACCTAGGCCTTGAAGCATTGCACTACATGTTGCTTTTTAACCACTGGTTCCTTGCCTCTGTAGCCTGTGATTCCTTGCTTCTGTAGCTGGGCAGGCTGTGACCAGCTGGATCCACAGTAATGGTGCATAGGATCTGTGCTCAAGATAGTTCCTCTCCATGTTCTCTTTGCAGAGGAGTCTGTATGTGGGGGCCCAGAATGGAGTCTTGCAGCTACCGCTGTCCAGCTGCAAGCGATACACGTCCTGCTTTGATTGTATCCTGGCCCGGGATCCATACTGTGGCTGGGATGGTGAGAGCTGCCGAGAGCTTGCTGGGATGCAGAACAGGTATGAGAAATGGAACTGGAAATAGTCCAGAGAGCAAGGAATAGGAAGAGCATGGGGCCAGGACCTATGGTGAACCTGGGGTTTTGGTATGGCATTACTAATGCTCGAGGCTTTTGTAGGAAGGAAGGAAGGAAGGAAGGAAGGAAGGAAGGAAGGAAGGAAGGACGGACATATCTGTATATTGCCCAATTGCCAAAGTTCTCTCAGTGGTTCACAATAATTAAGACATATAATACAACAGCAAATATATTTAAAAAAATAAAAGAATGGCATAAAATACAAGCAGAAATCAAGTAAAGCCTAGCAGTAATACAAAGCTTTAAAATACAGTAACACATTTAAAACAACTGAAACTGAAAGACTAAAAAGCATAGGAAAACAGAAAGGTTTTCACCTGGCACCATAAAGAGCACAACATATGTGTCAGGAGAGCCTCTCTGGGAAGCTCATTCCACAATCAGAGAAGGCCTTCTTCCTGGAAGCCACCTGCCTTACCTCTTTAATGGCCACCTGCAGGGGCTTTCAGGGAGGCACTGCTAAGCAAGGTCTTAGGGTCTGGGCAAGTATATATGGGAGAAAATGATCCATCAGGTAATCTCCTCCCAAGCTATTTAGTACATAGAATATTAATAGCATCACTTTGAATTGGGCCCTGACATGGACAGCTGCCAGTGCAAATGGAGGTTTCTGCCTATTCAACTGTAAAGTCATACTGTGTGTGTGTGTCGACTTGACAGCGTGCTGCCTTTTCCCACCCACATTAGAAGAGCGTATCTGACATGAGTCCTTTGCTTTGAGTCTCAGGGTATTTTGGTGTCTCATAAAATTTAGATTAGGTTTGTCAGACTGAAATCTTGCATAACCAGAAAGAAGCTCTAAGTGGCCTACAGGAATAAGAAAATACTAAAAATGAACTGTTTTAACTATAAAAGCACAAGGCACAAACTACCAGAATGTAGTACTATAATAAAAACATAGCACAGAAGTATAAAGGAGTTGTCCAAACTCCATATGAATCTTAAAATTACTAAATGTCAATTTTAAATAGGCAACTTAAAAAAAAATAGTCACAAATGCAAGCTTGAACTTGGGTTGGGGTTCCCTAAATAATATTCTCTAAGATCAGGAACACAGCTGAGAAGCTGCAGCTTCATGCCCCAGTTAAAGGTATCACCCTGGAGATATCTCTATCTTGTTGCTGTGACTGTGTGCTCACTGTGCACACATGCCTGTGTGATACCAGTGTGTGCATTGGGTGTGCAGCTGTGCTTATGGAATGACTCAGTGTGCATTTGTGGGAGCATGTTAGAGTTTACACATGAGTGTATTCATGCCCATAGATTTCATCAGCTGTGTCCTGCAGGTTCCTGAGACTCAGTATCTTTTGACTGCTGACCTTTCCCCACTGATCAACATCCTGCTTATCTTGCCCAGGTCTCTCTTGATTCAGGACGTGCTGCATGGCAACATGGGCTGCCAGAATGACTCTGGCAAGGGTAAGTTTCCAGTTCTGTCCCTTCCTAGGTTTCTTGCTCCTCCTGGAAGGGCAACAGAATGATTGCCAGAGATGAATGGCACACTCATTTTCAGGTACTTCTGAGGAAATGCAAGCAATGTGCTTTCCTGTCCTTCCCATGCACACTTCCAAGTCCAGTTTTCTGAAATCACTGGTTATCTCCAGCATAGGATTCTGTGCAAAATAACAACACTCCCACCAGATGATATCCACAAAATAAAATTGTGCCTAAATATGCATACCTTTAGTTGCTCTCTGTGTTTCTGTTTTTGTCAGAATTACATTCTCCTGTGTTGTTTTTGCAAGAGAGCAGAGTTAGAGAAGAGCTTGGAAATAGGAGCCCTGTGCATCGTAAGTTATAATAAGTCTGGAAGAGGGATATCAAATGGAACAGCATGGGGTATTACCCATCTGTAAACCATGAGAAACAGTGCTTATACCAACTCAGGGCTCTTTGGATAGTGCCTGCAGGTTTCCCTCCTTTTCTGCAAGGACTAGATATTTGCTGGGTCTATTGTTTTTTTAAAAAGAAAGAATCAACACTGACAATTTCAGAATGGTAGACTTTCTCACATCCCTTGGTTGTCTCATCTCCCTCTGTGAGACACTTCCTTAATATGAAATCATGCTGTACTGTTGTTGTTGTTAGCTGCAAAGTCATGTCCGACCCATCGCAACCCCATGGACAACATTCTCCAGGCCTTCCTGTCCTCCGCCATCTCCCGGAGTCCACCTAAGCTCACACCAACTGCCTCAGTGACTCCATCTAGCCACCTCATCCTCTGCCGTCCCCTTCTTCTTTTGCCATGTATTGTTCCCAGCATTAGGCTCTTCTCCAGGGAGTCCTTCCTTCTCATTAGGTGGCCAAAGTATTTGAGTTTCATCTTCAGGATCTGGCCTTCTAAAGAGCAGTCAGGGTTGATCTCCTCTAGCACTGACCAGTTTGATTGCCTTGCAGTCCAAGGGACTCGCAGGAGTCTGGGACACCTCAATTTCTGCTGCTTAGGTGGTGCAGAGCAGGAGCCCTTACCAGTTGTTCTTGCTTTTGTTTCCTGTAGCCACAGCCACTGCCACGCAGAAGAAACGGACAGTGCTGCGTGGAGATGATGTGCTCTTGCCCTGTGAGCAAGCATCCAACTTGGCGCAGGCCGCATGGCTGGTGAATGGCACAGAGTTGCTGGACAAGGAGGGGCAGGACCGCTTCCGCCTCGGGGTGGACGGGCTGCTGTTGACGGACACCCAGCTTGAAGATGGCGGGGAATACCGCTGCTATGCCAAGGAGAATGGCCTCCAGGCCTTGGTGGCCAGCTATGCCCTAACTGTGCTGCCCAAGCAGCCGGTGCACACGATGTCGCATCCATCCTGGCATGCTGCCACCCATGCGTACGGGGACAAGACATTTATCTACATTGCAGTCATCACAGTGCTGACTGGATTGTGCGTGGTCCTCAGCGTGGTGCTCTCCTACGTTTACTGTGCACAGAAACACAGGGGAAAATACAGTCTGGGGGTCCCCCAGACCCCCAGTGTGGAGCTGCAGACTGTCTCATCCAACTGCTTGGGCAAAGGAAGGCAGGAGGAGGCAGAGGAGGAGCTCAGCATCTTTCCTGATGGCTGCCTGCAGATCATCCCTGGGGAAGCCCCCACCTTAGTGTCACCGTCCAAGGAAGCCCCCCCCATCCCCCCGCCGCCGCCCCCTCCACTCCCCGCAGAGTTCACCAATGGCATCCCCACCTTGCCGAACATGTTGCGCAAGATGAACGGCAACAGCTACATGCTCCTGCGGCAGAACGAGGAGCCGTGCACATCACCCCTCTACAATTCCTTCACAGAGGAGCTGAGCAAGATCCTGGAGAAGCGGAAACACACACAGCTGGTGGAAAAGCTGGACGAGAGCTCTGTGTAGCAGGGGACAGGAGCTCCCTTGGCTGAACTGGTTCCTTTACCCCGTGTGACTTCTGTTCCCTGATCCGACATGATCAGTGTTATGACTCAGCAACTACCTCCGGAGCGGCCCTCCGGAGCCGCCACAGACTCCACACTCATCTCCTGTTCTGATTGTTGTCTTTTTTGGGGTGGGTGGGTGGGTTGGCGTTGATTGTTTGGTTTTCCAATTGTTGTAAAAAGAGAGAAATCTATTTAAATGGGAATTATATTTATATATAAAAGGTTGATCGATAAACAGGAACCACAGAGGTCTGTTGGGTTTGTCTGAATGACCTCCCCCCTGGGGCATGGCTGAAGGTGCCACTGACTTGGGTCAAGAATTAAGTTGTCCTTCTGGATGGTTACTTTTCTGTCTACAGGAGGGCATCAGGTAGACACAAGGAAGGGTAAGATGCTTAACTGCGCTTTCAAGAGGGTAGACAGGGCCAGGGCCGAGTAGGTATGTTCAGAGATTTGCCGAGGCACTTGGCTAGTAGAGGGCTGCTCATAAGAAACCCCTAGTGCTTCTCTTTTTACCATTGCAACCTGCTTGGTCCCTGCACTCTTACTCCCGCCCAGTCAATAGTGGGGTGGGGAGGAGGAGGAGCAGTAGATGCTGGTGACAGTGGATGTGCGAAAGTGGACTCATCAAGGGAGCAGGTCCGTTGAGGGTGTCAGTTTCCATTCAGATGCCTTGAAGCATGCACTAGAGGTAGGTAGCAAGCTTCTTTATAAAACCCAGATTTCCCCAAAATTCAGTTCATAGAATCAGATCTTGTTTCAAGTGTAAATATGATTTTTCACTCCCCTCCACTGGAGAATCAGATTTAAAGGTTTAAAAAGGCAAACAGGTGAACTTTGGTCATGAATGGCCATGGTTTAGTTCTTCTTCAGAACTTGGATTTCCTTGAATGACCTCTGGGGATTCTTCCAACTCCTCTGTTTCCTGGACTCAGTCATAATCAACAGTCCACAGCCAATGTAACAAAGGGTGAATGTGCCATGATGATACAGAGGGGCAAGGCAACCAACTGGAATAAGGAAACACCTTTGCTTCTGAATTGTAATGTCTTTGAACAGTGGTGAAAACAAATAGATGCCTCCACGGAGAACTTTTAAAAGTCCTGCAAGCCAGCCTTTTGAATGACACACTGCTGGTACAAAGCAGTTGAGTAGTTTCAGAAGCTGGGAATGAACAGCCTGTGGCCCAGGCAACTCTTCTGCTGTGCATGGACAGTATCCAGTGTGATGCTACACTAATGTAAATTGCACTCTGCTGGCATCAGCAGTCTCTAGAACTACACCAATAGTTTCAGTTGGCATGACATGCATGTGAAATCTAGGGGAATGGCCATGTCTGAATTTGGGTTAGAGTCTGTTTATCTGTCTAACATTTCTTCTCTTACCCTGAGAGAGTTTCTTCCACATTTATTTCACCTGTCTGGTAATCGGCATCCTGCAAGAGTAATGGCAGAAACAAAAAACAGCTTGCAGTGAACTTGCTGGTTTCCACAACACTGTTTGATCTTGGCTTCTCTGAGATGGAATAGCGATCCTGGTCTTGGCACATCCCTTTTATGGAATATGTGGCAAAGGAGCTGTGATTTCTTGGGTGTGCTGGGGAAGGGATAAGACTGAAACCTCCCAGACTTCACAGGATACAGTTGTGCCGAGCAGCAGCATCCCTGTGGGGCAGCAAGAGAAGGCTGCTTAAGTGGGCTCATGGTGGTTCTGCCCCTGCTGCCCTGAGGCTGAGGTCTCCAAAGTCATGCCTATATGCAGCTCTTGGTGCCCACCAGCATTTACTTGATTCCCCCCCCCCCACCCCCCAGATTTTTTTACAGTTCAAGAAGAAAAGGGAGGATGGCTTGCTGCAAGGCAAAGCACTATTTCATCAGCACCATCCTTATTTGGGCTCACCAGAGTGGCTGTGTGCTTTGGGACTCACTCTCTTGCTCTGCCTTGTGCTTGCATAATTTATCTTTCTTTTTTACGTACTTGCTGGCAATTAATGTTTTGTGATGGGCCATGCTCTCTGTGGCAGCCATTTTGTGGGAGCACCCACAGCACTCCCACAAAAATCCAGGTGTGCCCATTGACCAATAAGATTGGGAACATCCCTACCACAGGGGCCACCCTAGATAGCCAGCAATATCTAGTTGTGTTCTGGGAGAGAGGAGCAGCAGCAGCCCTTCCTGAGTGAGAGATGGCAGGGTTTTAAAAGGAAAGCAACGTTATAGAAAAAAGTACAAACCTAAAGTGGAGCTGGACAGAGCTACTATACAATCAGATTGGTCTCTCACAGCTCAGTCCATGGGCAATAGGGGATTAAGTACCCTAGCTCACCTTACTCTGTTGGAAGGATCTCTGAGATAATCTGTGAAGCATTGCAAAATGCAACATAAACAGTAAGTTATTGGCATTGTTTTTCTATGAGCCTTTAGTAAATTTAAGATAGACCTATTTCACCTTATTTAACTTTAGTACAGCACAGCATTGCCATCTCATACATTTCAGAGGGAGAGCACAACTGCCTGCAGCTATATCCAGCATATTTCACCAGTCCATTAGTTTGCTCAGTAGGTCACCTAATAAACTTTTGTAGTTGTGGTGGTTGTTGTTGTTTTCCAAATGAAAGTACATAACTCAAGTGCAGGGTCAAGTACTGTTTTCTTGACTCTTCTGACACCTCTTTGCAGACTGTATGAATGGTGCTTGTGGAGTAACAGTGGTTCCATGTAGACCAGCTTTGCTGAGCTCAACCCAACCTGATGAAATTGCACCACATCCAACATACCCTAGTAGCAGATGCTGCTTTTCTCTGGCTTTGATTCTGTGATAACAGCTAGTTCTGCTTGTAGTTAGGAATCCAGCGGGGACAGTGGAAAACCTCAGAATGGATTCAAAGATGTAGCAGCTGCAGTGGGTGATGTTATCAGAGACCATGCTGAGGACTGGCCCAGCTTTCATGACCCTACTGGGTTGCTTGGCATTTCATCTTGACAGCAGCATCAGTCAGTCTAAAACCGTCTTTCCCAGGGTGGTACTTTTGAAATGTTTTGGATTATAAGTTCCAGTGTTCTTTACCACTGGCTATTTTGGCTAGAGCTGATGAGAGGGGATAAAACTACCATGAAGTGAGCTCTCAAGCACTGTGTTATATCAGACCAAATGCCCCATCTTTTGTAGCATCAGTCACCCTGTTGCTTCTGCTGCCCAGCAATTGATACTTAGAGGCAAATTACCTCTGAACCCTGAGATTTCATGTAACCAACATGACTCTAACTATTGATAGAGAATGGTGGCACTTTCTCTTTAGAGTTCTGGGAAATACTTTTAGTTGGCCTGAAACTACTTCCAATTACTTCCATCAGCTGATCCTGATAAGGAGAAAAACTTAAAACACTTGCTATTGGGTATAATTTTGTAAATGTCTTTACATTTCCCCCCTTATTTATGTTTCCCACCTAAGAAGCCTTGACAGCCTTGTTTGGAAGGCATGGTCCTGCTCTCTGTCATCTTTTGTTTTCCCTTTTCCATCTTTACAGTATGATTTTTGGGACAAGTCAACCAAACTGCACAGAGAATTCTAAATAGTGCTGCACCATAGATTTGTGTAAGGCTGTTGCCACAGTAACAGTTTCATTTTCAGTTCCTGTCCTAATAGTCCCTAGCACAGAATTTGACCATTCCCATTGCTGCTTCCTCATAGCTATTTTCACTGAGCAAGCCACTGTGATCCCAGGGTTCCCCCCCCCCCAACAATATGGCTTCGGACCCCCACTGTATATATGAAATGCGGGGTTTCTGTACCAATATACGTCAATTTACCTTAGCCTTAGTTTGCCATTTTGTTTCCAATTCACACATTTTAGAGATCGTTCTAGAGCTCTTCACAATCCATTTGAATTCTCATCATGAATCGTGTGTCTGCAGACTCCTCTAGTTGCCCAGGTAGGGTATTAAACTCATCTGGATTACAAGATAGGCATTCTGTGTATTTAGTGATTATGCAATCAGAGTAGAAGGTCAAAACTAATACTGGGTGAAAGTTTTGGTATCCTGAGAAACTGCTTCCTTTTTCATAAAAGCAAGTCTCTAACCCTTGTGACTGCTAATGAAGTTTTGAAAGTATGTGGAGCAATGTAAGAATTAGTTTTGCATTATTGTTGTTGTTAGATACTGCACCAACAAAGTTACAGTGTGGAACGTATTCTATGACACCTTCAATACAAAGATGATCTCTGATAATAAGATAGTTTAATGTCTTATAGTCAAATGATGTAATACAAAATATAATATTGATTAGATTTCTGATCAGAACAAAGCAAGCAAACTTCAGATGGAATGTAACCAGGTGGGATTTTGTCCCTTCATACCTTGGAAACCAGGCTTAAATTGGAAAAGGTAGGAAATTTCAGTGGGAAGCAGGGATATATGAATGTTTGAGGCAAACCACCCGCTATATTAGGAGATCACTTCACAGGTACAATCCTATACAATCCTATACTGGCTCTTTGCACAATACAAGGATTAACAATCCCATTAAAACACTGAACTGTAGTGAACTCTTTGATGGTGCAGTTTTTGTGAGAAAGGCCATTCATTGTTCTGTGATGGAACATGTGCTTTTCAAGCAAGGAGTCTCAGGTTTTGTCCCTAGCATCTTCGGCTAAAACAATCTCAAGCTACAAGGTTGGCAAGGCTCTTTAGAGAGCATGTGCCAGTCAGAAGGGACAGCACCAAGACAGAGTGATTGAAGGCTTGGCTGCTACCTATACCCTCAAATAAAATCCAATTTCATGCTCACAGCTGCCTCTGCAAAGAATCTGGCAAGTGCTAGGCATCTGTGAAAAAGGTTCTCTCATGGAAGCCAGATAACTTTGTGCCAAGCTGCTGGAAGTGTCTTTAATTCCTTTTTGTGCATATTCTAACGAAATGGTTTAGTTGAACATTTGCCTGTTGATCTTAGACTGCCGTCCTTCCCTTTCATTTTGCATTTCCTCCTCTGTTGGCAGGTCTCCTTTGCTTTGGTGGAAGGCTGAGCCAAAGGAGTTGTGCACCTCTGCCTTTTCTGTGTCATCCGTTCTTTTTTTGCTGCCGCTGATGAGCTGCTGTATGCTTTTTTATTTTGTATGTAGCTGCAGAAGGCCTTTGTATTATTTTTTGCATGCCTCACTAGTTTCAGTTAACTCATTTTAACCTTCCTGACTCCACTCCTGTAAGTCTTTGCTATCTGCTTATACTCTTGCTTGACCTCCTTTCCACTTCCTGTAAATGTTCTTAGCTTTTAAGCTGTCTTCTAACTTTTTGAAGCCATGAGTGGTTGTTGCTGTTACTGTTTTGTAGTTTTCCATTCTTTTTCTTCTTTGGAATTAGTTGTTACGCTTTAAGAATGTCTTAATTCTTAAATTTCTTTGTGGAATTTCCTTGTGGACTTCTCTCTCCTCTGGGGAATTTTGCTTATCCTTGATCCAAACATCTTAAAATTGTTCCTTTTGACGTCAAGGGTATGTGTTTGGCTGCAGCAGACATTTGCCTTCCTCTTAATAGAAAATTCAAGAATGGTGTGTTCACTTTCACCCAGAGAACTCATAGTTAATCTACCAGATCATTTTTGTTGGTTAGCATTAAGTCTAGTGTAGCTGTTCCCCTTGTTCTTTCCTCTACTTTCTGCTGGAGGAATTGATTATAAGAGGAATCTCTTGGAGCCATGTTTGGCTGAGTGTGTCTCCCAGCAAATATCAGGGAAGTTGAAATCACCCATGAAGTCATCATGTCTTGTTGTCAAACTGGCTACTTGTTTTTTGAAGATAATGTAGTCACTGATGACTGTTGCTATTGTTTCTTTTGCTCCTCTTAGGACAACCTAGATGTATTCAGTGTGACTACTTCTCCTACAATTCATTGCAGATAGAAGTATTCTTAACATAGAGCATGACTCTTGCTTCCCTTTTATCCCTTGTTTCTGGAAGATGTTGTACCCATCTATTATTGATCTCCAACTATGAGAATCTGCTCACCATCATACAGCAATTATCACATGATCATAGTTGCCTTCATGTACTTGCAGCTCAACTTTGTGTTATTACATGTGCTCTGGGCATTGGTATAGAAACTCTGCAATTATAACCTGGTTTTGTTTCTGGCTTTTTGGGGTATCTTATTAGTTCTTCTTACAGGTTTTTAATCTGCTGTGGAGCTTGTTTCATTTCCACTTCACATAGCACCCTTTTGTACATCTCCCTCCCCCGTGTGATTCAGTTTAAAGCCTTCCTAATGAGGTTTTTCATTTTGTGTCTAAAACCTTGTTTTCCATATCTTGAGAGATGCAACCCATTGTTTGCCAATAGTCCTTTATATAAGAAGTTTATCCTTTGATTTCAGAAACCAAATGTCTCTCTTTGGTACCACTGTCTTAACCAAGTATTTACTTGGGAGTATTTTTCTTTCTCTGTCATTTCCTCTTCCTTTAACCGGTAGGATTTGTAAGAAGCCTATCTGGGTCCCAGTGTCCTTAATTTTTCTGCCCAGAGTTTAAAGCCTCACATAATTTCCTCTATATACCTTTTGATTGTGTTCTTTGTTCCCACATGGATGAGAAGGAAGGGGTATTTATTAGTGGGTTTTATGAGCTGTGAGCATCTATTAATTTTGTTGTTTTATTACAGCATCAGCTGAGTCCTTCCTATGGCAGTCTTGAATTTCCAAAAACACTGAAACATTTCCCCTTAAACAGCAATAGCTTAGCTGCTGATCAACTCAGTAACATGGGTAACTGGCTGTACTTCTTTCAGTGAAGGGAAATACAAATTACTAACCTTTGAACAAGTTGTATTCATAACTCATCACTTGCATATCAGCAGGAAAGCCCTAAGAATGCCATATGTATGGTTCTACACCATTTATTTCCAATTTCAGTAAGAATAACATTAGCCCAAAATCACAAAATATAGTTGGGCAAAACTACCAGCACAGACAGTAGCTGTAGCTCCCACCAATCAGTCATACCAACACACTTTTGAGAGAAGAACTAGTTTCACCCAGGTCCTGGCCCTGCTCAAAATTAAGACTACTCTGTGACTTAACTGATAAATACAACCAGGTGGCAGAACTGTAGCATGCCAGCATCAGCTGCTAGTTCAGACACAGAAAGCTAGTCCAGTCTTTTCACTGCCCATTTATCTTCCTTGTAGTTAAGGAACCAGAACCTCCACCAGAGCCCCACACACAAAAAGCACAGGCTTTTTGCAACAGTATAGATCTATTTTTCTGCAGACATGGGACACTTCTGGCCCACAGCTTTCACATTGAGTGAACTGGGCTTATTTGTGAAAGGATGCCACTGGCCTTGAATACTGGGATTATCTGTGTGGAAAGGCTTTCGGATACGGATGATGTCTAGGCCAGATTGGTTGGTCAGCTTATAGATGACTTCTGCAATCTCTTCTGCTGTCTTGCTTGTTAAAGTCTGTTCCTTCACAGTTCCATTCACTAGGAAGAGAATAAGTGAGATGAAATCCAAACCTGTTATGGTTTCATAACTTCCCTAAGTAAGGATGTGGAGCCATCAGCCCACAGAGGTTCTGCATTCAGTCTGCAGAGCCATCTTGTGTTCCTCCAGGGGCAAGGCCTCCAAGCCACTGGAGAAATCCCTGCTATTTTCTCCACTCTCACATGTGAGAGAACAGTGGAGCTGCAGATGGTGGCTGGCTGATGCCGAGGGTGCTTACCCAAAGCCTTGTGCACAGCATGCACCTTCCCCATGGGAATAATGTGTGCCATCTAAGTCTTTTTGCGTATGGCACACCAGCCAAGTCTCTTTCTCCAAGCTGATGGAGGAAGAGAACACCATCCCCCACTCGGCATGAAACAAGGCAAGGGGGGCGGGGATATCAGTGGGTATGGCTGTGCCCACTCACACCACCAGGCCTGCAGAGGGCTAGGTGGAAGGAAAATTAATTTCTACTATCAAATGGTTTACCACCCCTGCCCTCGGTATTCCTATCTCACTCCCAGGATTTTCAGTTGCTGAACCTCAGTAAACCACTCCCCCACCACTCCTTAAGGTATTAACCAATTCCCTAGGATCTTCAACTGCTGAATCTCGCTTACAGCTCCTTGGTACATGATTCTTTCAACAGAGTGAGTATTTATTGTAGGAGACTATTACTTTGCACTGCCAAACAGACTTATTGAGAGAACTCCCCCACTGATTCCCAGGAGCAAGTTTTACATGTAATGGTGCTGAAACCAGCATCCCTCTTCCATACTCACAGTATTCTGCAACCACTGTAGGGACCCTACACCTCTTTGGGGCGACATAGACCACAATCCCAGGGTTTTGCCTGGCAAAGTCCACCACCTTTTCTTCAATGTATTCTCTAGAACAAGAACAAAAACAAATGAATTAAAACCCAATGAAGTACTTAAAAAACTACATCTGCAGTACAGTCTGAGGTATGCTGGCAATTGTTGAATCTTTTCCTGTTTAAAAATGCATAGGAGTGTACCATTAAAATGCTGAAGACTCAAAGAACTAAATAAGTACCAAAGAAACAGTCACTTGCAAACTTTCCAGATTGTTGCTTTGAGTATAAGGAGTTAAGAGCACTTCTGGCTCAGAACATCTAATCCAGCAACAGACCTCTTGTGTTCTTAGGCTCCCAGCATCAGGTATCCAAGTGTGCCAGGCTTGAGGGCGTGGCGAGCTGATCTCTATTCCATGAATTTGACTAGTTCTCTTTTAAGGCATTTTAAGCCAGTAGTCATCACCACATATTGTGACAGGGATTTCCATTAACTTCATCCAGATCCAGTGTGAAGTATTCTCTTTTTGCCTTTCTTAGATCACCAGAGTGAAGCACAGCCTTAGGCAAAAGTGAACTCCAGGTTCTACATTTTGTGAACCATTTGGTTGTAGTCATTTTTGAGTTATGCAGTTCAAAGTTTTGCAATGCACCTATACATGCTATTTTTTAAAAAAAGCACAAAACTTACTTCTCTGTCCTGCCAGTCAGTATTCTCTGTTAGTGAATTATGAGCAGGGGTTTAGTCAAAACACAGTTGCTGATATCAAAGTATAATTTAAAAATATGGAAAGAGAAAGGAAAGCTACAATTCCTGCTTGGAAATAAACCCCACTGAGGTCTGGGGTTTTTTTTTTTTTTTTGCAAATTAACATACAGGAGAAAGTAAGGTGGGGGTAGGGGGGAGTCACTACTTGGTTCTGGATAAGTACTGTTCACAGCCATGAATGAACAATACTTATCAAATGGTGCAAAGTTAAATAATATTCAATGTAAAACCAATTTACACAAATATCTTAAGACTTTGATCATAAATTAACTTTTGAGCTTGCGGAGCTTACTATGGAGTAAACATGACAAATTCCCACTGATTGGGATTCTTACAAAATCAATTTGGAAAGTGTATAAATTGCACAAGGTTAGAGAGTAAGGCGAAGAGCACATTCAGCGTTAATGCAATTAACGTTATGTCCCGTTCATGTAAACAGATCGACTCCACGGAGGACTAACATTGGCTACATCCCACGGGAGCACAGATCAATCCAGAATCAGCTCGTGGCCCCGAGAAGGCAGAGCTCAACCCCCAAGACCTCTCTGCAGCTCCAGGTCGGAGCTTCAGGGAAATTGCAGCAGAAAGGTGAAGCTTCGATTGCGCAGGGGACTTCAAACCCTAAAGAGCACCGATCCCCTCCGAAACGCCTGGAGCAGGAAGTCTCGGGAGAGGAGGGGAAGAGCCTCCATAAAAGCCCGAGCCCCGGCACCTCTCTGTTCGGAAGAGCAGCCCACCTGAGCCCCCGCGAGCTCTGCGCTTCCCGGCTGACAGTCAAGGTGAGGCGCTGCAGCTGGCACACGTAGCGGCCCAGGCCGTTCCGCAAGACGCTAGCCAAGAAGCGGCTCGGGGTGCCTCGGCCGGTCATGGCCGCTTGCAGGCGAGCCAGCCCACTCGGACCGCGACGCCGCCGGCTCCTCCTCCGAGCGGGCTCTCCCCCGGAAACAGCCTGCGCAGGAAATGGGAGGGCACGTAGACTTGCAAGTGCTCCCGTGCAAGAGTGATCTTCGCTGCAGTTTCCTTACACAAAGACGGGATCTTCTTGTGGGTTAGACGCCGTTTCGCTCCAGCCCCGCTTGCCTGCAAGTACGAAGAGCAAGTGGTCGCGCGAAGTCCAGCTCTTTGGTGTTGCTGTCACGGGCTAGCATCTTGTCCCTTTCCTCCCTAAAGGTAGACGAAAAAGGGAAAAAATCATTCTTTAACAAATAGCAACTGCGGTTGCAATGTTGAAAATGGATATACAAATGCAAGTAACGTGGGCGTAACTATATGTGACGGCTGGCGGTGGCTGGGATTGGTGTATGCAGCGCAGTCCGCCCTCAGTGTCCGTGGTTGAACTTAAAACCTTGGAGGCTGAACGTAACTTACAACAACTCTGCAGTGCAGGCTAGCGTTTCTCCCAGATTGCAGGTCGGTGGCTAAGAGAGACTACATAACGGCATGCTTACAGTGCTGTATTGCTATGTACTAAAGGCTACCAAATGCACCATAGCCATCCATTTGCACTGCACCAAAATCATAATAAGTTTTAAAATGTTGTATTGATACCATATCACGTTCTGGCGGTGGCTCCTTTGGATTCCACCAAAACCGAACCCAAAACACACAGAAACACTTCAGGTCGTAGCTAAATCCAATCTAATTAACAGTGTAATCCTATATATAGTTTCCCTTTCATTCAACAGGGTTTATTTCTGAGTAGGATTATACTCTAATTTCCCTATCGCTGCTTTCTCCCAATCAACGATGAGCTGAATATAGACGCACCTGATGTTTCATTCACTTGAAAGCAGATACACTTCTATCCCTGCAAGATTGCTATCCAAAACATGCAGATCCAGATTCTAGTCTCCACTCGGCCATGAAACTGAATGGGAGACTTTGAAGCTAACCTACTTCATATGAGGCTCATGCGATGGGGCGGCATATAAATTGTTTGAATGAATGAATGTGGTGAGAGTAAAACGGAAAAGAGCTGGAGGATTATGTAAGCCGTCTTGGCGTCTTCGTCGGTGAAAAAGAGCGGGATAAAACAGAATGTTTCTTGGGGTCGCCATAAATCGGAGGCGACTTAACTGTACACAACTTCATAAATTTAATAATATGCATGAGAGGGCGCTCTAACCGTTTAAGTGGGAGTTCCCATAGCAACCCGGAAGTTAAGGGTTGTGTGTTACTCTAACTATTTCTTTACGGGTGGTGGCTTTGTCCAATTACGTGCTGTCAATAGCTTGCTCCAGCAGCTTGCGGAAGAGCGGCCTCCGGGTTGTTGTTCCGGGGACAGGGCGGGCAGGGCAGGGCAGGACAACGGCGCGCTCCTCCTTTCAGCCGCACGTGGGTGAAGTGCTCGCGCTCTTGCTTGCACGGAGATTAGTTGCAGCGGCGGGTGTTGCTCGCTGGGCCGCTCTGCGCCTTCCTCCACGTGGGCGGAGGTTAGTGCGCGGGAATCTCGGGAGCGACTGCCTGCCCGTCGGGAGGGGCATTTCGGGCAAACAGGAAAGGCGAGCTGGCTCAGCTGAAGTCCCAAGAGGCGGTGTTTGAAGACGAGGGCGTCTTGCACAGAGCGGGGGTTTGGACCCGACCCGATGGGCTTCTGGCCCCTTTTAGCTCTACTCTTCGATATGATTCTGCGTGATTGTTGCTTGGGTGAGGGTTGCTTAGGGTGAAGGAGGCATCTGGCGAGATGGAATTGGAAGGGTTTTAGAAAACGGAAGGAACCTCAGGAAGTGTTTTAGTGTTGCACAAAGATGGATTAGTGTGTTATGTATTTTTTGTGCGGCTTGCATAGAAGAAATGTGGTTCCTCGCATACTCTTTGCAGGTTCATTCTCGTCGCTGGTGTTTTGGCGGGAAGTGGATCCTAGGAAGCAGCTATGGCTGCAGACAGTACAAGAAAGACATACTCCCATCCCCAGAAGGGCCAGTCCCACCTGTTACAGCCACAGAGATTCGCCAGTATCTCAGGGCCCAGGGCATCCCTTTTCATGATGGCTATAGTTGCCTTCATGTACCTAGTATTTTTGTGGAGGAGCCACAGCAGGTGCGCCATAGCTACAGCCTCTTTATTGACAAAACAACGGGTCGTTTTGTCTGCACAACCACATTGGTTGAAGGTGACTGGCAAGACTTCCAGGCCAGTATAGAATTGAGGCATAAAGGGATGGCTGTGGGTGACTTAGAAGACACTGATGGACACAGGGATCAAGTTGCAGAGGATGCCAGACACATCTGGGAACGAGCCCTGCCTCTATCTGAACTGCTGGATGAGCAGGAAATACAGGAGGCCAAGGCTGCTTTTGGCATTTCTAATGTGTCAAATGCAACTCTTAAACGCTTTGGTGTGCGTTACCTGAGGACTGCTCGAACGTTGGTCTTCCCGTGGTTCAGCCCCCGTGGAACCACCTTGAAGGGGTTAAAGCTTCTGGGAGTGGAGCACAAAGGAAAGACAACCCACTATGTGGAGAACACCCTACCTCGACCAAGTGCCTATCACAATCTCTTTGGGCTGTCGCTGATCAACCGGCGAGATGCAGAAGTTATACTTACTAGCCGGGAGCTTGATACTCTGGTGCTGCATCAGGTGACTGGGCTACCCAGTCTAGCATTGCCCCGTGGGATTTCCTGCCTTCCCCCAGCCCTTCTCCCCTACTTAGAACAGTTTAGGCGGATCACCCTGTGGTTGGGGGAGGATCTCCGCTCCTGGGAAGCTGCCAAACTCTTTGCCCGCAAACTGAACCCTAAGCGTTGCTCTTTGGTGCGCCCAAGTGACCAGCAGCTTCGGCCCCTGGAAGCTTTCAACCAGGGCTTGAGCCTCACCAAGATTCTGCGCTCAGCCTTACCAGCTGGCCACAAGTCCATCATTTCATTTCGCCAGCTGCGTGAAGAGGTGCTCGGAGAGCTATCCAATGTAGAGCAGGTGGCTGGAGTCAAATGGATTCGGTTCCCAGAATTGAACAAGCTCCTCAAGGGTCATCGCAAGGGAGAGCTCACTGTCTTCACAGGTGATTAACTGTGTAGTGCTTTTCCTCTTACCCTTCTGCTCTCTGTGTGTGAGACTGTTTAATTCTGATCTGTCCTAGTGTTCTTACTGTTTAACCTTGCTCCTTCATCAGTCCCAACCTGTTATCTGGAAGACATTCTTTTTTGTGGCCTCTCACAATGTGTTGTCCATCTTTCAGAAGGCTTTTATAACCTACCTTTTTTTGAGCCAGCAGTTAAGAACTGCTAAACTACTTTAAACTCTATGTCATCCTGCTTGACTAATTTATTGTTACATCCTTTTGCCAGCCCAAGGACTTGGCAAATGGTTGGTCTATCAGAGGTTGGCTGGTTTTGAATTGACAAATGTTTGTTTACAAGAACATGGGTATATAAGGTCTCAAATTATGTTTTAACCAATCCTCTTTTCTCCTCTGTCTTCAGCTTCTTTTATATCGCCATTTGCTTGTCGTGAATCCTTTTCATGGCTGTTATTGTTTTGGATCTGGGATGAGCAATCTTCAACATGGAATTACTCTTCCTATGTATATCATCTACCTGGATGAACTAAGAGTAGGTGTCAGTGTAGGCTCATGTATAGGCTCTGCCACTCCTGAGATTCCCGTGTGTGAAGGCCTTGCAAAACCTGATTACCCATTTCATTGGTTTGAGCTGGATTGAATTTTTCGACCACTGAAGTAAGAGGTGAAATTAGTTAAGCGCTACTATCTCAATGTTGTGGTCATATCCAATAATTTGTTGAATTCTTGCCTCCATCTTCTGTGCCCCCACTTTGGATCCCTCCATGTTACTAAAGGTGGGAATCAAGCCATGTAGAAAAGCAGTTACAAAGGGTAAGATGGATATTTCTGTGAAAAAGGGAAACAATTGCAGTGTGGCAGAATGTTAAATATCTTTGCATTACGCTGCAGCATTTTTAATTTGGTTATGTAGTGTTTCTGCTTCTTAGTTATCCACCAGAAGAGGGCCTATCATTCTACATCGAAATGGAAGATGGAATGTGTTGCGAAGATCTCCTTTTTACTTATTTTGCTCTTGTCTCGAACAGGTGCAACAGGCAGTGGGAAGACAACGTTCATCAGTGAATATGCCTTAGATCTCTGTATACAAGGGGTGAACACTTTGTGGGGCAGCTTTGAGATCAACAATGTCCGGTTGGCTAAGGTCATGCTTACCCAATTTGCCTTGGAGAGCCTGGAAGAACAACTGGACAAGTTTGATGAATGGGCAGACAAGTTTGAAGATCTTCCGCTCTATTTCATGACTTTTCATGGACAGCAGAACATCAAGTAAAGATTAGGGTGGCAACTTCTCTCCTGCATTTCATGTGTTAATGTTCTTAGTAAGATGAGGTAGTAGCTGTAGAGGTGGCATATTGAGTGGCACATAGAGTGGCGATTCCAGCCGTACTTTCTTGGAAGTCACTCCCATTGAAACCAGTTGGGCTTATTTCCAAGCAGGCATAGTTCTGGGTAAAGATGTAAGTATCTTTGGATGAGGAGTCTCTGCCCGAAGAATTAGCACTAATGTATTGTGTGTGTCCCTCAGCCAGTGGCGTTCTGTCTCCATCTGCATAGAAAAGCCACAAGCCAGTTCTAGAATGCATTGACTGCCATTTTTAGATTCCATCAGCTTAGAAAACTGAGAAACCCCACTTACCTTGAATTCACAGTTAATATTGGGATTATTCTCTCATGAAGCTTTTGAGGATGTTTTGGGCAGATTATGCATAGAATGTTACAGGGTGACACAGTTGTCTTCCTCACGTTTTTATTCATGCTTTCTAATGTGGTGCCCTGTGGTTTTTGTTTTATTTTGTTTTTTGCTATAGGATACGGGTTTATGTATCGTGTAAACGAATAGATTGCCAGCTCCTTATCCTTTGATCGGATCCCTGTTCCTTGAATATGATTGCATCCAGAATTCTGGGGATTCCAAATTACCTTTCTGAGGCATTAATGTAATAGGGATGCAGTCATAAGCATGTTTAGATGAAAAGAGTTCCTATAATTTTTAGGATCCCCCAGCCAGCCATATAGGAACTTGTAGGATTTTTTTTTGTTTAGGTTGCAAATAGAATTGCAACTTAAATGTATTTACAGTACTAAACGGTTTTGGATGATTCTGATAATTTATTAGGGCAGAGTGTGGAATTTAAAGGCAGCTACTTATTGGTGTCTTACTTCAGATCCTTCTTTGTTGGGATCCATGATGGAAGTTGCTCTGCGTGTAACTTTGATAACTTCTTGTTCCGTGCAGGACAGTGATTGACACGATGTTGCACGCTGTGTATATGTATGATATCAGCCATGTCATCATCGATAATCTTCAGTTCATGATGGGCCAGGAGCATATCACTGTAGACAGGTAAGGCCCCCTCCTTAACGAGTCCTTAACGTAGAATGGCCATCTCCAAGCCATTGTCCTCCAGATGTGTTAGACAATAAACCCCAGCATCCCTAGCCAGCAAGTTGTTAGATATGCTGGAGTTGTAGTCCAACCCATTGAGAATGCTGGCCATCTACACCATTATTCCTCCTTTTTCCTTTGCTCTGTCTGTTACTGTTTTCATAATAATAATTACATGAAATAACCCTGTTGTGTTCATGATTCAAACCTAAACTAATTAATTTGCTTGGGGCCACTGCAAACTTGATGTTCTTGATTGGTCAGTATGGTTAAACAGTCGAAAGGATGCCACAGGTTAACATGTTTCTTCACCTGGCTCTCTCTCTCCTGGAATGCAAAGTCCCCCTTTAACCATGGTTAAATAATACATTTTCGGTGATAGTGATATTAACAGCCATTAAGACTAAGCACATTTCTGTTTAAACCAGCTTTCACGTTGGTTTCATATCCCAGTTAACCTTTCAAAACACATCTATTTTAAATTGTATATGGCAAAGTGCATCTAATAAAAGGCTATCTATTACTATGAAGAACTATATCAGTATCTCATCTTTCTTCAAATAGGACTTCTATAATTTCCATTGCATCCATTTACTCCTGTAGTGCTCCTAGAATTGCAATCCAATCTCTCAGAAAATACTTTAGTATAAGAACCTAGATCATCCTTCTCTAACCCTATGCCCATCCAGTCCAATGGGCTACAACTCCCATCATCGCCATTCAGCATGCCCAATAATGCCAGTTTATCATGAGTTGGTCTTCTAATATCTTACAAATAGTTTCGCATTATGCACATGCTGGCTTGTATTGTTTTTCCATTACTCTTTTTTAAACATGAATAGCAGCAACTTTGCTTATTATTATCCTTCCCAGCTGGGATCCTCCAGATGTTTTATGCTACAACTCCAAGAATTCCTGACTATTGGCCATGCCAGGTGGTGAGGGCACTAGGTTTGCAGAAGGCCATTACACGTCTTGTGATTTCCCACAAGCTCTTACTGTATATTGTAGGTAGAATGTTAGATTATTGACACGCAGCTTAATGTTTATTTATCATCTAACATCATTCAGTAAAACTATTCTGTATTGGAAACTATTCTTTGCAAAAGGAAAATTCTCTCAATGGTTTGCTCCGTGGCTAGCCAAAATAGTTTTCATTTTATTCAGTATTTTGTATATGTATAGTATCTACTTCCCAATTCTGATTAGCTTTGACTATAATCATCATTATTGAAATAAAGCTTAACAATGTTTAAAGTGGATGGTAAAATTCAGATTCCAGTAAGGAGGAGAGACAGGAAAAAGGTGTTCTGTTCCATGGCCCACTTCAGACTTCGTTAAAGTCTGGAAGAAATAACTAGGATTATAACTGCACTGGTGCTAAGCAAATTACCTTCTAGTAGTTAAATATCGCTGCCGCCGCTCACCGCAAAGCTGACTGCCAGACTGGGGACTGCTGACGCCGCGGAGAGCGGCCGTCGTGGGACCTGGGGCCGGAGGATGTCGCGGCTGGACTGCAGGCCCAACATCGCCTGCCGGCACCATTTTGCCGGCGAGTTCTCCGTGGCTGCCCTTGCTCCCTCCCCCGCCGATGTGTGTGGCAGCTGCGCCGGATTGTGGGCAGGGCGCGGGGACGAGCCACTGGCATAACTCGCCGGACGCGGCTGGGGCCGGCAGCCGAAGGATGACAGCCTAAGGGCGTTGTTGCCATTTGGGGCCGTGCGGGGGCTGGACTGGCCAGAGACTTTGTCAGTCGGTTGGAATTTGTATTGGGTGGTTGGTGGGGAGTTTTTAAGGGTTTTAGTATAATTTTAATTGTATTTTAGCGTAACTTTTTTAATGGATTCATTCCTGGCCACTGCTATGAGGTTGCCTGGGGAGTGCGAGGGTGCCGCCATTGGGGTGGTCATGGGCAATGGTCGTTGGGGGTTTAACGAGTTGTCGTAGAAGAAGGAGGGACAGCCAGAGGGTTCCAGGTAGGCTTATCAACCGCCCCCCGGGCCTGTCAGAGGGTTCCAGGTAGGCTTATCAACCGCCCCCCGGGCCTGTCGGTGCTGTTGCTTAATGCCAGGTCGGTCCATAATAAATCATCCCTCATCCATGACTTGATTGTGGATGAGGGGGCCGACCAGGCTTGCGTAACAGAGACCTGGGCGGGAGAGGGGAGGGATGTCTCCCTCTCTCAATTATGGCCGCCTGGGTATCTAGTCCAACACCAACCACTCCTGGAGGGGAGGGGAGGGGGGGTTGCTTTATTTTACCAAGCATCCATCTCCCTCACGGGGCTTCCTGTTCTCTCGAGGCCAGGTCTAGAGCGCATCTATTTGGTGTTGGGCGACCGAGACAGATTGGGGATTCTGTTGGTGTACTGTGCCTGAGCTGACGGAGATTGTCTCGGACCTGGTGTTGAAGACTCCCAGGATGCTGGTTCTGGGGGACTTCAATCTCCATGCCGAGACTGTTCTGACCGGGGCGGCTCGGAACTTAATGGCCTCCATAATGGCCATGGGGCTGTCTCAACATGCTATTGGCCCTACCCATGAATATGGACACACACTGGACCTGGTTTTCTCGACGGGACAGGAAGAGGGGGATCTGAGGGTGAGGAATTTGTGTTTGACTCCCCTGTCATGGTCAGATCACTTCCTCATGAGGTTTGAGCTCGAGAGCGGCCTTTTCCTCTGTAAGGGTGTGGGCCTGATGGATCCGCCCCCGAATGGATTCCTGAAGGCTCTAGGGGAATTTCCGGTTGATAAGGCTGGTGCTCCTGTCGATGCTCTGGTCGAACTGTGGAATGGGGAGATGACCAGGGCTATTGACATGATCGCTCCTAAGCATCCTCTCCCGCCTGGCAGAGCCTGTTCATCCCCCTGGTATACACCTGAACTACAGGTGATGAAGCGGGTTGGGAGACGTCTAGAGCGTAGGTGAAGGAAATCAAGGGATGAATTTGACCAAACACACTTGAGAGCTCACTATCGAGCCTTTGCTGTGGCGGTGAGGGTGGTGAAAAAGAAATTCTTCGCTTCCATTGCCTCCTCACAATGCTGTCCAGCGGAGCTCTTTCGGGTGGTACGGGGGCTGGTTCATCTGGGCCCCAAGAAAGATCCCGTACCACCCTCGACAGCCCGCTGTGACGACTTTGCCAAGCATTTTAAGGAGAAAATCGCTCAGATTCGTCACGAGCTGGACTCCACTAGTGACTCAGAGCCCGCAGGGGAGGTGCCAATGTTGCCATCTGGTCCAACATTGTTGAATGAGTTCCAGTTATTGCGGCCTGATGATGTGGACAAGGTGCTTGGACAAGTACGTCCCATCACCTGCTTACTGGACCCTTGCCCATCGTGGCTACTTAACAAAGCCAAGCACGGGATAGGGGCCTGGATCCTGGAGGTCGTCAACGCCTCTCTGAGGGACAGCCAAGTACCTGCCCCTGTAAAGGAGGCGGTAGTCCGGCCAGTCCTAAAGAAGGCATCCCTTGATCCAGAGATGGCCACCAATTATAGACCAGTGGCCAACTTCCCGTTTCTGGGCAAGGTGTTAGTGCGGGTGGTGGCGGGACAACTCCAAGCACTCTTGGATGAAACTGATTATCCGGACCCATTTCAGTCCGGCTTCAGACCTGGGTATGGTACTGAATTTGCCTTGGTCGCCCTGTACGATGACCTGTGCAGGGAGAGAGACGGGGGGAGTGCATCCCTGTTGGTCCTCCTGGACCTCTCAGCGGCTTTCGTCTGGTATCCGTCTGGCTAGGCTAGCGGGATTGGGGGTAGGAGGCACTGCTTTGCAGTGGTTCTGCTCCTATCTCAGTGGCTGATTCCAGAAGGTGGTGCTGGGGGACTATGGCTCTGTGCCATGGCAGATATGCCATAGAGTTCCACAGGGATCCATTGTGTCCCCGCTGCTATTTAACATCTACATGAAACCGCGGGGAGAGGTCATTAGGAGGTGTGGGCTGCGGAATCATCAGTATGCTGATGATACCCAGCTCTACCCCTCGTTTTCCACCAATCCAGGTGAGGCAGTGGCTGTGCCTGGCCGAGGTAATGGGCTGGATGAGGGCCAATAAACTGAAGCTCAGTCCAGACAAGATGGAGGTCCTGTTGGTGGGTGGTTCAGGCCTCGGGATGGGGGACTTGGGCCTTGTCCTAAATGGGGTTGCACTCCCTCTGAGGGATAGGGTTCGCAGCTTAGGAGTGCTCCTCGACCCTGAGCTGTCTTTAGAAGCTCAGGTGACGGCGGTGGTGAGGAGCGCTTTCCTTCAGCTTCGGCTGATACATCAGCTGCGTCCCTTCCTGGAGAACGACTGCCTGGCGACAGTGACACACACGTTGGTAACTTCCCGATTAGATTTCTGCAACGTGCTCTACGTGGGGCTACCCTTGAAGATGGTCCGGATACTTCAATTGGTGCAGAATAGAGCTGCCAGGCTGCTGACGGGGACTGGGTGTTATGTTCACATGACTCCAGTCCTCCGTCAGCTCCACCGGCTTCCCATTGAAGTCCAGGCCCAATTCAAGGTGTTGGTTATGATCTATAAAGCCCTCAACGGCTTGGGTCCTGGGTATCTAAAGGAACGCTTGCGTCCATATATGCCCTCCCGCCCCTTGAGATCAGCAACAGATGCCCTTCTCCGGGAACCTTCTGTGAAGGAAATTAGGAGGGTGAGTACCCGGAGGAGGGCCTTCTCTGTGGTGGTGCCCCACTTATGGAATGCGCTGCCCAGAGAGGTCCGCCTGGCACCATCGTTATTTGTTTTTCGGTGCCAGGCTAAGACCTTTTTATTTAAAACTTAATTTTAAGTGTTAATTTTTTGGCTATTTGTAGGATTTTAAAATTTTTAAGCTGAGATGCACTGGGTTTTAATATTTTTATTGTATAATCTTTGTTTTTGTTGTAAGCCGCCCCGAGGATTTGTTGCAATGGGGGTGGCATAAAAATGTTTTAAATAAATAAATAAATAAATAAACTGAAGCTCAGTCCAGACAAGACGGAGGTCCTGTTGGTAGGTGGATTGGGCTTTGGGGTATGGGACCTGGACCTTGTCCTGAATGGGGTAGCACTCCCTCTAAAGGACAGGGTCTGCAGCTTGGGAGTGCTCCTCGACCCAGAGCTGTCTTTGGAAGCTCAAGTGACTGCAATGGCGAGGAGCGCTTTCCCTCAGCTTCAGTTGATCCATCAGCTGCATCCCTACCTAGAGAACGATCGCCTGGCGACAGTGACACATGCATTGGTTACTTCCCGATTGGACTTCTGTAACGCGCTCTATGTGGGGCTGCCCTTGAAGATGGTCCAGATACTTCAGATGGTGCAAAATATTGCTGCCAGGTTGCTGACAGGGACTGGGCATTGTTCTGATATAACCCCAGTCCTCTATCAGCTTTACTGGCTCCCCATCAAAGTCCGGGCCCAATTCAAGGTGCTGGTTATCACCTATAAAGCCCTTAACGGCTTGGGACCTGGATATCTAAAGGAGCACTTGCGTCCATATGTGCCCTCCCGCCCCTTGAGATCGGCAGCAGAGGCCCTCCTCCGGGAACCTTCTGTGAAAGATATTAGGAGACTGAGTACCCAGAGGAGGGCTTTCTCTGCGGTGGCACCTCACTTATGGAATGTGCTTCCCAGAGAGGTCCACCTGGTGCCGTCGTTATTTGTTTTTCGGCGCCAGGCCAAGACCTTTTTATTTAAATGGTATTTTAATAATTGCTGATTTTATTTATTGGTTTTAAATTATTGAGCCAGGACGTTTCCAGATTTTATATGTATGTATTTGTATAGATATTTATATGTTGGAAGCTGTCCCGAAGCTTATACGAATGGGACGGCATACAAAAATTCCAGATAAATATGAGGGTTTTTAAGGGAAAAGTGGGCTAGGTGTCATTCGCACTGAGACTAGTTTTCAGTCTTACAGTTCTTTGTGCCCTTTGCCAGTTGGCCCACTTTCTTTACTTCCTCTGATGGGTAAACATCCAATCCCACCAATGTGTTTCTTTTCCTTGTTGCTACTTTCTGCTGCGCTGATTTGTGACCTTTTCTAGCAAGGTGTACTTATCCCATCACATTGTGGTTTCAGGCTTGCAGTCCAAGATTACATTGTGGGAGCTTTCCGGAAGTTTGCCACAGACAACAGCTGCCATGTGACTCTGGTAATTCATCCCCGGAAGGAAGATGAAGAAACAGAGCTGCAGACAGCTTCAATTTTTGGATCTGCAAAGGTAAGAGGTTTTCACTAAACCAGGGATTGGTATTTGTGGTCCTTCAGAAGTTTGGGGCTGAAACTTCTATAATCCTTCACTGGCTAAGCAAAACTTTTGGAGGATTACAAGTTGCTCACTCCTGTGGCAAAGGTTTGTGAGGAATCAGGCAGATACAAAACAAGCATTTCTGCTCTGCTCAAATAATTCTTTTCATTTTGTGCCTCTTGTGCAGGCCAGCCAGGAAGCTGACAATGTGCTGATCCTGCAGAACAAGAAGTTGGTGACGGGCTCAGGAAAGCGCTACCTGCAGGTCTCCAAGAACCGCTTTGATGGGGATGTGGGCATCTTTCCTCTGCAATTCAGCAAACCATCTCTCACTTTCTCGGCTCCTATCAAAGGCAAAGTCAAGTTGAAGAAGGTAAAAGAGGACAATGCTGCTCCCAGCAAGAAAGCTTCAGCAGCTACTGATGGGACATCAAAGAAGCAGCGATCCGAGTCACCTAGCAAGCAGTTATCTGCCCCAGTGACTTCCCCCGATGAGCCTGTCAAATCATGAGAATTAAAATAGTAGCCAGGAAGGATTGGAAGCCAGGAAAACCAGTATCTCTCGTCTTATCATAGGAGCAACAGCCTGACTGTGAACAAAGGCACCGGCCAACTCCTTCCTGCTGTCATGCAGCTTTTTAAATCATGCAGGTGCTAGTAACCTTTGAGAGAGTTCTGGGCGCTACTGTTATCCGTAGTATTCAGCAATAATCCTGAAAAGAAATGTATATTTTTCCCCAAGAGGAAAGCAGCAGATAGACACATGGATGCACTGTAGAGCTAGGTATTCATGGGGGAAGGCTCAAAAAATTTCGGTTCTTTAACTTAGCCTTGGTCTGGGCTCAGTTAATATTAGTTGTTGCTAACAGTGGAGAACACTGCAGAACGGTGCATGGTGTGTGCAAGTTGTTGTGTGCAATTCATGGACTTATATGTGAACAAAATTAAGGTTTGCTGTAAGCAGTGTGTTGGATCCTGGCATGGATCACCATTGCCATTTGGGTCCTGTTTTGCACACTCGTATTCCAAGAATACTGGTTTAAAACCATAATGATGCCACGAGAATGCCACTTTCCCTCCTGATTCCAGGACTTGAATGATGGAATTGCAGGCTGATTGTAAGTTTAGGTTTAAGTTAGCTGTGAACTAGCAGAGCTATCGACAAAGCCATTTGAGGGTCTGAGCTGTGTGGCTAGAGTAAGTCATTAGCATGGAAGAACTTATCCCAAAATGCAGGCTGTCCCTTTCTTAGGTGCCGGCTGTGTTCTGGCTTTGGTCTTTGCTGTTCTAGCCTATTGATTCCGATGAGGAATCTGTTAGAAGGAAAAACCACACCGCTCATGAATTCCAAAGGGGGCTATTGAAAAGCTGCCATTAAGAAAGGTAATGCAGCCTTTATTGAAAAAGCCTTTCCAAACCATTAATGGATTCCCTGACCATTTCAGATAAAACTTTGGATCGATTTCTTTAGTTCCCCTGCCCCTCATTCCACTTAAGTGCTGCAACTGTAGGAAACTGCGTCTGACGTACGTCCATTTAGAGCAAAGTGGTTCTGAAAAGGAGAACAAATACGTTTCTTGCAAACATATCTTCTGTAGGAAATACTGTTTTAAAAATACTAATCTTGAAAATTGGCTGTGATAAATGCAGAAGCTAGAAGGCTCTGACATGGGAGTAAAGTATATTTCCACAACCTTTGAGCTTAAATGATATATGGGACACTCTGTGTTGGAATGTAAGCTGATGCTGATTGTGATTTGGTGTGATCTTTACATGTGTATGCAAGCACCAGGAAGAAGAAGACTGTTCAGGTTTTCACTAATGGTTTTTGAAATAACCCATGCATTTTTGGATGCAGAAATTATGAGTTACTTGATATTTTGTTGGATGGTGTGTCATTTATTTAAATTTAAAACCACACGCTTTGTCCTTCCTGTGCAATGTTCTTTATATTGTCCACAAGAGGTCAGTATGCATACGCAGCCCCTGCTTTTTCAAACACAAGGTTTACATGTTAATATTTTCTGTTTTCCATGCTAACCTGCAGTTCCTCCATCATGTGCCAAGGCCTGGCATGATCCTTTGTAGTTCTGAAATCTCAGAAACAGGAGAGAATAGCAGTTGGTTTATCAAAAAAGGCAATTTGCTGTGCTACTAATTACATAGCTAAAGCTTTTCTAGACTTTATCTGTGGTAGATTCTCTGCCACTCGCCACTAAAAAATATCTCCAGGGACAGCTTGCATAATCTTCCGGGGTGTACACTTACAGTGAAGAGGATTCTCCCCTGCCCCAAACCCATCTGCTGTTCATGTTAATGGTTTTTAGCATGTTTTCTGCTTGTTCTGTCCACTGGCAACCCCCCTCCCCCACCTTCTCCTAGAGCAGGACTGTAGATGTTTAAGAACATTGATGAATATCCTACTCTGTCTCTAATTCTTCCTAGCAATGAAAATATTTGGTTGAACTTTTAACTCAGACATTTCCTTTGTGAGAAATGTTGTATTTAAGCAATTCTTGAAGTTATGGAATAGGGCAGACTTCTGAAGCATGAAGGAAACTGCAGAACTGATGCAAGAGGCTTTGGGGATTTGGAGAGATGGGGAGAGCGCCCTTTTCATCTGCTCTTAGTGTTTAAATGAAGGGTTAATAGAAAGTGATTGCATTTCTTTACTAATGCAAGAGGAAAGGGCATCAGGCCCAAGCATGAGTTACTAGAGGGTGGCGTATATTAATACTGAGTGTGTAACAATTCCCTTAATGCAAAGGCAACCAGGTATAGCCCAACTTGTCAAAACCAGCTTTTTAATACGGATTTCATGTTATATAAATTTGGTTCTGTTGTGTTTTTAATATTTTTAGTAGATGTCATTTTGGCAAAATGTGCGTGGAAATTTTAGAGAACTATGCAGTTCAGAGGAACTCGGGCAGCTGCCTCATGGTGATCCACTTGGGATCCATCCAGCTCAGTGCTCTCTGTTGTGGCTGGCAGTGCCATGCAGGGTTTCAAATAGGTCTTTCCCAGCCCTCCCTGGGAATCCCAGGAATTCAGCTTGGGGCTGTCTGTGTGCAGACTGTGTACTTTGCCGCTGAACTTGCCTCTCTATGCCCCTTCCTCTGAGTTTGTCTCAGTCCAAGCAGTCTTGGTTTTAGGTTTTGAGGTGGCTTCTGAGTCAGGTGCTTTCAGTGGGTCCTGTTCCCGAGTAAGCTTTTCTCCTCTTTGTTGCTGTTAAGTGCCCGCTTGCTTTTCCTGCGTCCTGCCTCCAGATGGAGAAAACAAGATATGTACAGATAGATCACTCTCCTTGCTTGCTCGAGAGGGCAGGCTCTTGGCAAGAACCCAGCGATGCTGGCCTGTGATGCCAGTCCTGAGTCCAAGAAATACTATTTATAAAGTATCTCTGTTGATGCGGTTGTTTAAATATGAAAGATGCAGTTGCTTCTTTGAGCCGTACCTGGGCTCTCAAAAGGCACTCTCTAGATGGTTTCTGAAAATATCTGGTGTCTAATGACCCGTGAGCAGTGGGTTGCCCCATGCTGCCAACCTTGAAAGGCTTGACTGGGACCAGACAGTCCAGCGTGTGTCATTGCAAGCCCCACCGGGTCCCTGACACCTGGCCTCTTTGCTCTGTTGTGAAAATGAAGGGTGAACTGCACAGCTCCTGGTGCAGTTTTGAAGTACTACAAATGTACTGTTGAACATTATATAAGCGCTATAAATGTACTGACACATGCTTCTGCCGTTTCACGCAATTTGCGTTAGAAAGCTGTGCTGTCCAGTGATATGAAGGACCTTGTCCAAGGAAGGTGAATGGAGAAGGCTGCTAGCCTTCCTACAGTATGTCACTGTAACTAGTGTTTTTCCTGTTGTGGTATTATTCATAGTTTCACCTCTGAGCAGCTATTTATTTATTGTTCTGTCATTGCTTGAGTGGAGTTGGTGATGCAGAACCAGCCATCTTATTTTATTTAATATTCTACCTTTTTCCTGGAAGGTATCCAAGATGGTTTATATAATCTGCTCCATTTTATCCTCACAACAACCTTGTGAGGTAGGGTAGGGTAAGACTCAGTGACTGGCCCAAAGTCACCCTGTGAGCTTTCTAGCCAAGTGGTGGCTAGAACTTGGATCTCTTCAGACCCAGTCTGGCACTTTTATTGCTCTGCTGCACTAATCCATCTTCTGTGATGGCCTCCTTAACTGATGTTGGACAAAGACTACAGGAAGGACATGGTTGTCCAGCTTGAGGAAAGGGATTGCAGGGTGTGGATTTTTATGCAAGCCCCCACCCAGTTCAGGAATTGCTTTGTGTCACTTCTTGATACCCTGTATCAGCCTTCCCCAACCCGGTGCCTCCATACAGACTGCAACTCCTATCAGCCCCAGCCAGCATGCTCATGATTGCAGTTATGTGAATTGTAATTCAACTCCACTGGAGGGCCCCAAGTTGAGGAAGACTGCAGTGCAGCGTCAAAACATACAAGAGTCACTGAGGGATGGGGAATGGCTGACCCAGTAGTTTCTCCAGGGTACCCAACCTGGTTATGGTTAGGACTTCCTGCTGTGTACTATCACAGGGATGGAAAAGGAAGGACCTGAGCAACATCTGTTACTAATTAGCCGCTGGCAACCCTGGGACAGGATGAAAAGGACTTGGCCATCGCATGGTGGGGCCTGGGAGCAGGCAGAGGAACGAGGGCCTGGGCTGGCAGAGAGTGAGCGCTCAGCTGAGGCTGAGGCCTGTGTCTGAGCCACAGGCAGGGCCTGTTCCTATGAGATTCCAGTTAGCTTTCAAGTTGGCAGCAAGGGAGATTTGGAGGCCAAATCATCAACCTCATGCATTGCTGCAGTTTCTCTGCTGAAGAGCGTGCTAGACTCCCAAGTGTGTTTCAGTCTCTTCCCAGTGTTGATCTGTGGTTTGAGGTCTGCAGCCTGGAACCAGAACTGTACTTTCAGGGCACTCAGCTGCGCCTGGGAGCTGTTTCCATTTGCTATGGTGAGCTGCTGTAATTGATGCATGATTCAATGGCTGTTTCCTGCCCTGCTTAGACTCTCAAAGTTGTGGACATAAAGAAAGCATTTGCATCTTTAGGAAAAGAAGTAATCTGTACATCAGTGAATAATATGTGCATCCCACCCTTCATTGTAGCTTCATAACAACCATGTGAGATTGATTAGGCCAAGGTCACCCAGACAGTTGCATGTCTGAGTGGGAATTTGGATTTGTTCCTTGTTCTAGTTTGACATGTTCAGCTGTGCCATTTGGATCAGGTCCACACATTCATCTTCCATTTAAACTACTGAAAAATTGGAGTGTTGGGAAAGGTTGGTTGCAAAATGTGATTGTCAGTAAATCAGTTGAGAAGATGATGCAGCGTCTGTGTTTCTTTGGATCTTCAGGGAAGAACTGAAACTCTCAAGGTCTGTACGTAGCTCACCCCAACACATTTGCCTTTGTAACATTCTGACTTTCCACTTGATCTGCAAACTAGTTAAACTGGACTCCTTGAATTAATGCTGCTTGAGTCCTTTTGATCCTAAGAGGATTACTTGAGCATTCCCACTATCTGGCTTGTTAATTAGGCAGTTGGTTTCTTTGCTAAAGCACTGCTTCCGTTTGAGTTCCTGGAATTTTGACCCGACAATGAAATGTTTTAACCCCCCCACACACACACATAAAGCCCCCCCCCCAAAAAAAAAATCCCAGGACATGTTATAAAATGAAACTTGAGGATGCACAATAAGATGTCCCTGCAATCATGAGGCCAATATTTCCGGTATAACTTAAAGTGCCAATTGTTTGGGCACACCATCAAATTTTTGCAAGAATTTTTGTTGGGATGCTGAATTTGGGAGACAACAGGACACATGAGTGGGGCCAACATTGGATGCCTGCACTATTGGATGGACTATTCAAATATTTCCCTTCCATATTGAGCAACCCAGTGGTACAGAGCAGCTTTCATGCATGCCTTATCAGCACAGCAACTCTCTTCTCTGTTCCCTGATCACTATCCACTGAGATGTTCTCCTACATCTCGTTCGGGGTCAGCATCAAGGGGTGTCATGGTGAGACGCTTGCCAAAGGCCTGCAGCTTAGCAGACAGTCCACTGAGCGGAGCCCCTAGGACTTGCTTCTCTTCACCATCGCAGCCTGCCCATTCTGCCTCTCTCTGGCCCAACGATGGTCATGGTGAGGAGGAGCAGTAGATGCTGCTGTTGACTTGCCCAGCATTGCTTCTCTGCCAGTCCAGTGGTAGCAATGATGAGAATCAATGGGTGAGGAGCAATTGAAGCTGGTGACAATGGCCGTGAGAAGGCAGACCCATGCAAGGAGGGTGCTCATTAAGGTGGTCTTGCCTAAGGGCACCCACAAAAGGAGCTAGCACAGGCCTTATTATAGGACCACTGAATGCATTTTCCTTCGTACATTGCTGAAATTCCTTGCCTGCTCTTTATTCCTTCAATGTAGTGCAAGACCTCTTAACCAAGTGCCAGAAGAATCATACCATGCGAATCAAAGTGGCACTGGGGGACTTTTCTCCAGTATGGCTGACATTCTTGTCATGTTTGACAGCTACCTAGAGCTACCCGGTGATAAAGATGCTTCTGAAGAAGAGATTTGAGAGAAGGCACTCTTACTGCTAGCCAGAAACAAAGTTGAATCATTAGCTCCTGGGAAGAAGCATGTCTCTTTAGAATGTTAACCTCGGGTCTTTCTTGCTACCACCCCATGGTCCAATTGGGGAATTTGGCTTTTCCTCAAGTGTTTGACTTGCCAGGTAGGAGGAATTTGAACTTTCCTGGGAATGTATTTTTAAATACATTCTATGACGGGGAATGTATTTAAAAAGCATGCCCAGGATGATTGTTCTAGGAAAGTGTAAATTCTGAGGCAGAGAGGTTTGAGTCTCACAGTATAAAATGGATCCAAGGAAGTGCAAAAGTGAAATGGAGGCACGGGGGAAACAGGGGAAAAATCTGTTAACTTCAGTTACACGTGCTTTCCTGTGAAATATTGAACATAGTTAATCTCACTAAGAGCACTAACACTGGTTAAGTTCCTCCCTAGTGGTGCAAAAGTGTGAGAGACACAGCAAGAAAAAAATTATTTGCCAGCATTTTAGTATGTCCTCAAATTATCAGCAATCAGCCACAACCTCACATCTAAGAGTGGTGCAAGAAAAGTTTCCAAGCCTGGGAGGAAGTAAGAGGCTGCACGACAGCTGCCTATTCAGAAAGCACTAGTGCTGTGGAGTTTCTGATTACGAACTAGCCTAGGCAGTAATACTGAAGTCCATGAATAGGTGCTTGAATTTCCCAGCAGTTCTTCGTTTGACAAGGATGATACTGTATATTTGGCATCTTAAGGCAAAATGGTCAACTTTATAATGTATATTTGCATCTTCTCAGAAGAGCAAGAGACCATATATGTATATTGTCCTTCATTGCACAGTTTGTCCTCTCTACAACCCCTTGAGGTAGGTTAGGCTGAGAAGGAGTGGTTGGCCCAGGGTCATCCGATGAGTTTCATGGCTGACTGGAGGTTTGCTCTATAAAAGCATTTTAGCCACTACACTGGCAATCCTTAGAGTGGGGAAGCTTTCTTGTAATAGGGGTCACTTTATCTTCCAGTGAACACATGCTGGCAGTAGGTAGGACCAAAGCCACCACTGTTTTCTCCTCCTCCCTGCCACTCTCTTCCCTTTCCCTCCTTCTTCTTGTCTACTAGGCTGCCAAGGGAGGGACAGATTGGACTTACCAGAAGTCTGAACTGGCCACTTGCAAGTTTGCTTTTGAAATTTAGCTGAGGATTACTGTTTGGCTACCTCTGCTGCAGAGGCTCTCCACCATTTCCATTTTGGGCAATGTTTATCTTCTGATTTGCTCATGATTCATGAGAACATGCTACAAAATACACAGTTTGATGAGATTTTCTAAACCATAACCATGACCATTGAAGTAAGATCTCACAAGGAGCAAACATTCAATCAAGCTACTAGAATGCCAAGTTAAAGAGCTCAACTCCTGTTTGGATCTGTTAAACATTATCAATTTTGCAAGAGACCAGAAGTGGTTCAGCTAATTTTCATGCTTATAGTAGAACAAAAATACACAAATCCCTCCTTAATCTGCAGCCTATTTTTTCCCCAAGCAACTGAGTTCAGTGGAGCTTATTTCCACATGTGCATAAGACTCCAGTTTGTTGCTTGTTGTTCAAATGGGCAGTATGAAGAACAGGACAACATTTCCTTTAGATAAGAAGTAGGAAATGTTGTACATTCCAGATATTGTCAGCCTCCAATTCCCATCAGCCCCATCTAGTATGGCTAGTAAGCAAGAGGAAGCTATTGTCCAACAATCATGAGAGCCACAGTTTTCCTGTCTTCATCTTTAGAAGAAAAAACATGGGTGTTACGCAGACCGATCCTAAGCACATTTTCTCATGCATAAGTCCTGTTGCTTTCAATGGGATCTGTTCCCAAGTGAACCAATGAGGAAATCATTCAGACTTTGAGTAAATATGATTCAAACTAAGCTGTATTGCAAATGTGATCGGAGTAGTTGATCAGTGCAGGCCTTTGGGGTTCAAGAAGTTAAAGACCAAAAAACAAACAAAAACCCAAACCCTCTTTTTAGCTTCTGAAATCAGTTCAAAAAGGGCTTGACTAGAGTCTCATTTGTAGCCCCTGTGAGACATTTCCACCCATTCTTATTCATCTAGGGCTGACCAGCAAAACAGGTTTGGAATGTTAGTCTCCCCAATGAAGTGGCCTCTTAATTAACTGTAATTGTTCCTCTTAATTAGCTGTTCCACCGAAGTAAGTTATGGCCACCAATGAGTAGGTTACGCACCCACATTACTATTTGACATAACCAGTCTGGCCCATAAGGCTATTGTTTGTGTTAAACACTTTACTCTGATCATCTGGCGGCTCTCCTATCACCACACTGGCTTCCTGTCTGCTCCTGGAGCCAAAGCATTGCTCCTTCCTGACTTCTAAGCTTCAAGTACTTCCCTGCTTCAGATACTTCCCTGCCTTCAGCTTTACCACCCTCTGCCATCCAGAGATCTCCTGCTCCCTCCAAAGATGCAGCCATGGCGGTCCACTATGTTTAGAACTGCCTCCAGGAAGTGGCCACGTATCCTCTTTTACAGAGGACAGTCCTTTATTTGAATGGCTGTCCAGTCCAAGGCCAGTATAAAGATAGAAAATCAGCCAAAGAAAGAGCTGGACCTTGAACTCATCTGTCAACAGCACCTGGATAGCAGATGGGCATGTAGGTCACAATCTTCCACAGTGAGAGCTCCTGTATCGCTATTTAAAGTATTATTTAAGTTGATTTTTAGCAATTAAAACTTTCTATCTATGCAAATCGGTGACTGTTTGGTGGTGTATGTTTTCCTTTTTAGTGAGTCACTAGTGGCCACATACCTGCAAGATCCCACCTCTCCTGCTTCCTTCAAATGCCGCTTCAAAAAGCACCTTCTCTACCAAGCCTGTGGAAAATACACCTGACCTTCCCACCTATTAAGTGAATTTTATACCATAAGTTCTTTAAGGCAGGTCCTCATGTTCTGTAAATCACTATGCATTGTGATAGAATGTTCGACAGAGACTGAATATTTGGGCAACTTTTGATATGGGATGTTGCATTTTTCCTTACCTCTAGATAGAAATCAGTATCTTTTTTCCACACTTTGGCAAATAGAGAATCCCTATCAGACCTCTGTAACCTCCTACACCCACCCCAATCCCTTCACTCTGAGAAAACTTTGCAAGAGCTAGAGAAGGGAAATGAAGGCACTGGGGGAAAACAGCAGCTGCCCCTTGGCTCAGTTGTCCAAGCCACGGACATGGGGACCTTTCTCACAGAAATCTGACAGCTGAGTTTGAAGCCGTTCATCTTCAGGCAGGCAGAAGAAGAAGGAGGGGAGGCTTAGGAACAGGATCATATTCCCAGCAGCTGGGCTTGGTTTTCTTGTACCCACTGCTCCCTTTCCCTTCCTAATTCCCACATCTCAGCCACCCCTGTCCTTGTCCTTTTTATCACTTACTGAAAGGTCTCACAGGGAAGGACTGATGGAAAGGCCAGCCAACAACTCTCCTTTGACTTGATATTAGCCTTTTCTGCCAAACTCATGTACAAGTGCGTGTGCATCAACAGGAGTGCCAGGCATTTGAAGAAGGCACCGAGTCGGTGGTGCAAGAGGCAGGAAAGAGGCTGCTCACTGTTCTGGACAAGGATGGGTGCCGGCAAAGTCTGACTGCCAAGTGTAAAAAAGGCCAGCAACAAAGAGACAGCTGATGCATCGCTTTCCCCCTTGCTTTCCTAGAGCAACCAGTTGTGTAAGCTGTGTACCTTCC